CCAGGTCTCTTTTTCCTGGGATACTCTTTCCATCAGGAATCTCTCTTAGCTTCAGGAATCACTTCCAGAGAGACTTGGGGCTGGCCTGAAAGCGGGCAGGGGTTACTCCATGAGTCTGGGGCCTTGAGAATAAGACATAACCGAGTTCCAAGACAGAAATTTCAGGTAAGAATATTTCACAGCAGCGCCAATAGCCTCCCGATGATGCTATCAAAGAATTAGAATATGAGTCTGCTTCCTCCTCCCATTTTTCCCAGCCCATACACTTTGAGAGAAGACGCAGAGTTAGTCTTGGGTCAGCGTATAATACACAGAAGGGCAACCGTTGGAGGAGCGGCTGTTGGAAAGGGTGAGCCTGTGTTCTCCCATGTGGGACCTCGGCTTGGGCTGCGGATACCAGACAGGTGTAGAGAGCAGCCTATTGCCTGTGCAGACCCATTCATATAGATGGGGAGCCCAGGCTTCTGTCTTCTATTTTGATTCTTTGAATTTTTTTCTTTCTTTCCATTCTAAAGAGCAGCTGACCTATTTCAATGTGAAAGGGCTGGAGGGAAAGCAGTGGCTGCTGAGAAACTAAGTTTCCAAACAGCACAGTTTGGAAGCTTAGAGGACCAGGGGGCAAAGGAGAAAAGGTGATACCTACCCCGTGCGGAGGAGGCTGAGAGATGGGGAAGGACGTAGGCACCGAGGGACAGCTCGGTGTAAAGTCAGAGACTCTGTGCAGAGGACCCACTCCCCATATATCTAGGTAATCTCCCCATGAGCGCCGTCCTGGGCGTTAAGCACTCTACTATGCCTGTCACAGTTGAATTCCTGCTGTAATAAAACACCGGGTATATCGTAGATTTCAGCAAAACTAGGAGAGAGAGCCCGCAAAGTGCCATTTTTCTTCAGGGGGGAGACTGTTAAGTACTTAATTCAAACTGTGACCATTAAAGTGTCTCCTATCCGATTTAGGTTGATTTCAGATGTTGACAAAACTTTTATCTCCCGAGTCATGCACAGCTTGGCTATGTGAGTCAAGCAGATGAGTGTGTGTTAGAGGAAAGAAGAGAGAAAGAAAAAAGAAGAGAGCATGTGTAAGGGTCATTTCGGTAGAAGAATTATAGAGCTTACACAAAATACTGTCTTTAAAGGTCAAGGGTTTGAGGGGCCAGTGGGGTTTTCTTTAAAAAAAAAAAACAATTAATGAGATAGAAAATTTGTCCTCTGGGTGAACTCTATGGTTGCCCTAGCAAAGGGGAGACAATGCAGGATTTTGAAGCACAAAGTGGGATTTTTCTAAGCTGTTATAACAAGCTCCTTTAAAAGACCGGATCTAAAACAGGCGAAAACACTGGAGAAATTACACAATCACCTGGATCATTTTGGACAATTGTGACTTGGTAAAAATTACCAATATCTTAATAATCCAGACAGTTTGGGTAAAAATGCCATGTTGCCCTGGAATTTTTTTTTTTTTTTTAAATCTCCATCCTCGCTCATCCTTTCCTGGGTAGTCTATAAGAGCAAGTGAAAGAAACTTATTCCTTTTAGTCGCGTACAGCTGCCTCCAGAATGCAGCTAATTAATGCCCCCACCCCTCTTTCACTACAAAGGAGAAATATAAGAATTTACCTTAAATGATGACAGTCTGCCATGTGAGGTTTTGCAGCTCGACACTCAGTTTCCACCAAGAGTCTAGGCATTTTTTGAGCAGACAGCCAAGATGCTGCGTCTTTGCCCGAGACCACATTATTTGCAAGAAGATCCCTTGCTTCTCCACAGACTTTTCCCAGAGAATGCCTTTCAGAATTGCTGTTGAATTACAAAGAAGTATTTATTGTATGAGGTGATTAATGATTCCTGGGAAAATTGCTATTTTCAGCGTGATTTAATTTTGTTTTACAAATGTGTGTAGTAGAGGAAGGGTTAATAAGTTTCAGCAGCAGTTGCAATGATTCCAGAAATCCCTGGCACTCGCTGACACCTTATAAAACGCACTTTATGCCAGGTTTGGCCTGACTGGGAAGACAGGCACTTGTTTGCCCCCTGAATTTTCTTGGGGAGAGGTGGAGGCCGCTCTGAGGCTAGCATCCATCACTTGCCTCCCAGATCTGGTTTGCGCATAGGTAGAGAGCTGCTCGCTTCTGCCTGTACCACACACAAGAGGAAGGAGCAACAGCACTGACCACTGACCACTGGCTAAGGGTTTGCCACTGATGGAAAAACGTGTTAAAAACTCCTCTGTTGTTGCAGAGGTATGTGAGCGCCCCCTCCCATCTCTGCTAAAATTACTGCATGAACTAAAAATTGCCCTCATTCAAGGCCAAGTGACAATTCCAATATTCCAGGGCTAGTGTGTGTTGGCTTTTGTATCTTGTCCCTTCAGTGACAACCAAGTCTAAATTCTCTTGACTGATTTGTAGATCAGCAAACAAATACTAGGGATAGGGAGACTGAGGAGTGGATTTTACTTTCAACCTTTCGGATCTAGATCTCTAGGTTGGGCAGAAAAATCTGAGAGCATTAGAGGAAAGTGACCCTAGTTCAGAGTTTGGCTTTCTTCCAGTACTGAATACTCCCAGGTCTTCCTTGCTTGGCGTGCAATTTGGGGTGTCATCAAACTTTTTCTTTCCCCAAAAGAAACTTTGGAGGGTGTACTGAGGAAATTCAGTTTATTTTGAAAGCTTTTATTTAAAAAAAAAAAAACAAAAGGAAGAAAGACACAAATGAATGAAAATTCTTAAGCTGTAGTTAGTGGACAGGACCTGAAAAACAGGGAAGAAACAAAAAGCAATCTCAACCCTTTGCACAAACTATTTTTTATCTCCAGGGAAACAGGCAGATTAAGTGTGAAGGTGCAATAAATACCAAAGGGACCACTTCTTTCCAAGTGCGCTCAGAGTTCAGCGAGCAGAGCAGCTGCAGAAACTCCCGGGCCCGCAGCACTGCTCGGTTTCACCTTTCATTGCAGGGAAGGACACGTTTCTGTGTTTCTGTGCCTTACAGAGACTTGAAGCCTGAAAGCCTGGCCAAGTTTGGGAAGAAGAGGAGCCCTTTCAGAGCTCAAGAGCCTTCATGCTCTTTGGAACTTTTCCCACAGTGGGTCAAACTTGACAAGAGTTCAGCTCAAGTTGAACACACTCACACAGACTACACGACCAGTCGAGCAGTCAGAATCCAAGCGAACAGAACTCAAGCCATCTACGAGATTCTTGCATGCAAGGTCAAACATCTCAATCCAGAGCACTCTCTTTAAATTAAAAGTAGAAAGGACACAGATGTGTTTTAGAGCTTTAATGCTTTTTAAAACAGTGTTTATTCTTAACACTTGGCTTTCTATGTAGCCACATCACAATTTGTACAGTTGCACATGGGTCTAAATGCACACCCCTCTCCCCCAAGATTATGCCTCGGGAATAAGACAACAATAACTCTACAACAATATTTTAAATAAATGCAAAGAAGGGAAACTATGTGTCACATCTACCATAGAAGTCTATACATTTTGAAAATTAAATAATCTTGTGAGGTCCACAATGTCTACTCATTCAGTTCAAGACAAGCTTGTATGAGCTGCCTTAATGAGAGAGGGAAGGTAAGGAAGGTGGGGAAGGGTCTGTTTTCTTCTGCTTGAGCAAATATACATATACATGCCCCTAGTCAGCATGGGCTGTCCAGCAGACTTCAGCCATCTCAAAAGTATTTGATGCCAAGCGGTCCTTCTGAGGTACCCAGACCTGCCAGCCTTCTTCAGGCCAGCAGCTTGTTCCACCAGCCAGCATCCTGGCCATTGTCCCCTCTTGGGTGGCAACCAGCACACACTCTTACCAGGATAATGTAGTCTTCTTTCTTTCTTTTTTTTTTAAATTATACTTTTCATCAAGTTGGGTTTTGTTTGGGGGTCTGTTATGGTCCAGACAGAGAGGGGTGGATTGGGAAAGGGCAGAGGAGAGGAGAAAAGCAAGTGAGGGAAAAGAGACTGGCCTAGATCTCTGGAAGGTTATATGGAGGAGGGAACGGGCGTGGAGGCACCCTGGTGGGGGTGGGCATGGGGATGTGGGTGCGGGCTCTGAGTTTGTGCTTTTCCTGGCGGGCCTGCTGAAGCGGAGGCTGAGTTGGAGGATCGCATCTTAGTGTTGGGCAGTTTGTGATCTTTCTTCCACTTCATCCTCCGATTCTGAAACCAGATCTTGACCTGACGCTCAGACAAGCAGAGCGTGTGGGCGATCTCGATGCGGCGCCGCCGGGTCAGGTAGCGGTTAAAGTGGAACTCCTTCTCCAGCTCCAAGACCTGCTGCCGGGTATAGGCGGTTCGAGAGCGCTTGGGCTCCCCTCCGCTATAACTGGGGTTGACTGAAAGCCCATAACCCCAAGGAGAAAGCCAAAGAGGGGAGAGTGAAAAGAGAGGGAAAGGAGGAGGAGGAGAGATAAGGTGGGGTGGGGAAGAGCAATTGGACATCATCATTATATAATAACCTGACACCAAGTTCACGCAAGATACATAAAACGGCAAAGAAAATGTTTCACAGGCTATTGACAACGGGAAACACCCGAGAGCCATAAAGAATGGTGCTGGGCCTTGGGGCTGAAGAAAAGCTTCAAAGACACATGGCCTGAAGCCTCTGCCAGGGCAATTAAATTTATGGGGGCTATAATTACTGCCCTAACAGTTTGGCGTCTCGTAAATCTCCCGATAAAGGGACCCCGGGTACAAAAGGATTCTCACATTGGGATCAGGCGGCTGGCTGGCGCGCACACACCCACATCCCACTGTAGCTTGGGCCAGATGGGGGCTCCCCTCTGGAGGTCCTCTTTCCCTTGTGCTCTCTCCTCCTGACCCCAGCTCAGACCCTCAAACCCCGGCCGGGCCCCAGCCCACCCTCCCACGCCTCCCCAGCGGCGCCACGTACCGGCGCTGACATGGATCTTCTTCATCCAGGGGTATACCACGGGCTCCTTGCCCTTCAGGCCCGGCGGGCTCTTGTCGGCCAGAAGCAGCGGGCACGCGGGGGCGCTGCCCCCTGTCGGGACGCCGGGGGTGGCAGGAGCCGCCTCGCAGCGCCGCGGGGGCGCCGGGGGCGCCGCGCGATGCTGCGGGGGAGGCGGCGGCGGGGGCTGCCGCCCCGGCGGCAGGACATGGCTCGCGTGCAGGCCGTGCGCGGGACCCTTGGCGTGCGCTGGGGGCTGCTCGGGCTGCGGTGGCCGCCCGGGGCTGGCGCCGCCGCGGTAGCCATAAGGGTAGGCGGTGTCGTGCGCAGGGTAGAGCGGGGCCGCAGGGTAGGAGGGCTCGCGGGCTGCCCGTGGCGCGTAGTAGGAGGCGGGGGGCTCGCGGCTGCCGCCCGCGTGGGGGAGCTGGGGCCGCTGCGGCGGCAGGTGCTGGGCCGCGGGCGCTGGGGGATGCTGGTAGCTGGAGCCCCCGCCCGGGCCGCCGTCTCCGCCGCCCGGGCCGCTGTGCTGCGCGTACTCCTCGAAGGGAGGGAACTTGGGCTCGATGTAGTTGGAGTTTATCAAAAACGAGCTCATGGTCATTAATTTGTGAAGTGCAAAAATACTAATTTTTCTCGCGTTGTCGTTTTTCTGGGCTCGCCGAGGCCCCTCCCCCTCCTGCCTCTCTTCCCATCCCCCCCTTTCCTCCGCTCCCTTCCCCTCCCCCGCTGTCAAGCGCCCACCCCTCCCCCTCCCGCCGCCGCCAATGCCACCAAAGTTCGCGCCGCTCCTCCCCCGCCCGCGCCCGCGCTCTGCCCGCCCCGTACCCGCACGTGACCCGCCCCCGCCAATGGGTGCGCCGCGCGCGCGGACCCGGATCAGGAAGCGCGCGGGAGGTGATGGATGCTGCTGTCCGGTCCCGGCCGGAGGGAGGGAGTTGGCGCTTTGGTCCCCCAACCCCCCAACTTTGAGTCCCGTGGGGAATTCGGGGCCCTCCAGGCTTCAGGTCCTCTCGGGCGGCCAGGCCGTGCCCTGTGCTTGCCCTACGCCTGGCCTAGGCCTCAGGGCAGCGAGGCACCCGCGGCCCAGCGTTGACCTCGGGCCCAGCCTAGCCTGGCCTGGCGTCCTCCAAGGTTCGAGGCCGCCTGGGGCAGGGGATCATGTTGGGACCAAGGAAGTATCCTCGTTTTAATCCTGGCCCTGGAATAAAGCGAATGAGACCAACAGACCCATTTTCTCGCCGCCGATCCCCTGCCCCATCTCGTGCTCGCTGCCTCCGCACCCGAGTCCCCCGCTTTGAGGAGCCCCGCAGGAGCCGCAGAGGGTGGGAGGGTGAGCCGCCAAGAGCAATCTGCCTGAAAACGTAGAACTAGGCCATTCCAGCATCACCGGATAGGCACTTTTCATTTTTTTCTTTCTTTCAGAGACAGAGTCTGGTTTGTTTTTTGTTTTTGTTTTTTTCCTAAGAAAACTCAGAACCTTTTAATGGCATCTCATTTGATGGAGGTATTGATGAGCGAGTTAAACATGCCCGCATTCACTAGGCGCGATTGCGAGGGAGAAGGTGGTCCGAGGGTAGGGGAGAGGATAGAAGCGACGCCTCCACAAACCAAAGCTTTGAAACCAACAATTTCCTATTTCAGAGCAATTCCCAAACAAAAACAAGCTATGGATGGAATAGGCATTGTGCCCAGTCTGATCGCCGACGGGTCCTTTCCCGCTAGGAATTTTATGTTCTGTCTTTTGGATGCTGCTCTCTCAGACTCAATCTGAGGGTAAAGTTCTACTTATGCGACACTCTATAATTTCTGAATTGCCGAAAATTAGCATATTAACGATAATAGTAGCTCTGGAAAGGGGAGAGGGGACTGTTGCCTGCCATTTGGTAATTGAAATTTGATGGGTAAACTAATTACACCATTATTAACAAATAAATTACTTATTAATTCCACCTAATGTTGATCTTTGAAGTAAATACTGATGCCTTACTTGTACTGTGTACTTTTCCTTTCCTTTTCTGAGTAACAGACACACCTAGATCCTCTACTTTTCAACCTAGATTAAAGCAGTGCAAACTAGAATACTCACCATTCTAAAAATACTTTCATATTGGCATGCAAAGCAAGGATTTTTCAGCTGGTGCACCTTATTTGATTTTTCAAAGAGCAGTATAAACAGCCTGCTCACAACTGAATCTGGAAGGCAGACAAGGAAACTTATAGCCTAAGCCTGGAGACACTTCAAAAGGAATGTCAATTCTATCTTCATTTATATCGGTTACTCATATGAGTTACTAAATGCTGGAATATCCATTTGATGGATAGTCATTTAATGCTTAGCCACATAAAGCCTATTATATGGACTAATCTTTAAACTAATTTATGAAAAGAGGTTTAAAAAGGGATCATGTTAGCTTTTTAACTGGAATCACCCTGAAGTGGTACAAAGAGGTTTTCCACATTGGCTGTGTGTCTGTGAAGAGTGCTGTCCCATCGACATGGTGCACCCTGAATATATGTATTTTTAAATGAAATCTGAGCCACAGACAAATCAACGCTGAGTGTAATCTTTTCACATGCTCTCTAGATTCTGGGGGCGGGGGGGGGGGCGGGAATCTAACTTGTGATACAGCCTAAACCAATACCTCTCTACAGTAAGAAAAAAAGAACATGTACATATATACTGAATATATGTAATCTGAATTACATGTATAATGTAGTTTACAAAACTGGGCTCTCTGTGCTTCAGGGGGATTAAAAAAACATGACAAGGAAATTTTGCTGTCATCCTCATGTCACCAGCCTTGAGTACTAGGGTCTTAACCACGTTTGTTTAATATTATTTACAGACATTAACACAAAATTCATGTTGTTTAGCCTCAGAACCTTCTACCGGGTTTCTATTTTAAAGTATTAACAAGGCATGGACACTGTTTTGTATATGGTTAGCCTAAACGAGTTAACTGTGCCTGTGTTTCATGTGGTTCTATTACTTTAGGAAGATGGGCTTACACAGAATCCCCCAAGGCCTGTAACTTGTCTTTGTGGTTTGTATCATAAACACAAACGGAGCCAGGACCACCAAGTGTTATCTCACACACCGACATTTTGACATTTTACTGCAAGATTTATGGCTGTAATAAACAATCTCAGTACCTTTTCTGGTCCTTCCACAATCTCTCTGTGCAAGCCACAGCATCATTCCATTGAATCAAATAATCTTTTGAAAAACACTGAAAAAGCTCTTGCCTTTATGTAAAACCCAAAACACCAAAGTAAAGCCAGAAAGAAGCTAACTCAATTAATAAATAGACTGAAGTTTACCAACAGCACCTTGCCCGAGAAAAAGATGGGATGCTCTGAAACGGAGCAGAGAGGGAGCGTGCTAATCTTCGCACACCAACTGGCTCCCGTCCCAAGCAGGGTGAAAGCGTTATCCTTTTCTTGGGAAACTGGTAAGCACATTTGCTCATTTCCACGTGCAAGGATAACATAGATTCCCAACAAAAGCTTTCTTAAAATCCCATTAAGTGAAATAACTTTTCATCATGTCCTCGAATCCCGGATGGATAAGGGGAGTGAAGGGAGTCTAAGGGAGAGGGAGGGCGAGAGGAAGGCAGTATTTGCAGCCTAGTTTGAATCTGATTTGAATCATTTTGAATATATTTGGAATAGCCTTCCCTCTTGAATGCAACCCTGTCCCAAGTTTCAAAGTGACCGAACAGTGACACCGTGCGCATTTTGTTTCTTATTAATCTTACACATTGACAGTCTTTGTTAAATCACAAGGCGCGCCCTTCACCAGCCGACATTTTCATATTTGTTAGACGCGCTGACCTGAAGTTCACCTCGGCCTTGGACTTTGCGCTTCTAAAAGGTCTATACAGTGTCTTTTAGAGAGCAGGGTCTTTGCCCAGGTCACTCCTTCTCAGGGAAAACCAAGGGGGGAAAAGCAAAGGAAATGTAAACGTTATGGAATGTATTGACTGTATTTGTCCTTTGTTCTGCAGAGCGAGAGTCTCCCGGACTGACTGTTCTCTATCTGAAGCACGTCTCTGGAGCGCACACGGGAATGGCTGAAATTCTGAGTAGCTGATGGTGGCATTTGAGAGCTTTCACCCCCCTAGACTAGGCGTGTGATTTTAAAGAAGCAATACTTTATCCGCCATTTGACCAATTAATTGTTTGGGGGTAATTTCCTTGCAGTCATTTGTAGCAATGAGCACAATCTAGGCATAAAGGTTGAAATTTATACTCGGATTATATAGGAATTTACACCAAGATTGTGTGGAAGGCCTAAACATCACCATCTTCCAAATAAAAAAGTAAGCACTCTAAAAGCAATAACTTCTGCAGGTACCTTTTTCTTTTACTTTAAAAACTAGCTAAGTGCTGTCTATGATTATTGAAGCTGATGTGTTTCTAAGGCGTGGAACGTTTTTAACCAATAATACAATAACAAGTTTTTCTCAGAGACACATAGTTGACTTGATGAGTAATAGCGGGGGTTTCAGTTTTCTTCATTTTGCTAGCCCAGATGTGGTGAAGTGTTCATTGCTGTAACAGCGATCACCACAGTTGTTCCCTTTCTCGTTTTCATCTGGCACACCCCCATTTGGCTTCAAGCTCTTGGCCAGAGCGAAAACTTTACACATTGAACAGTGGCAGCAATCTGATTACTTTCACGAAGGCAGTGTTTGGGAAATATTTACCACTGGATGTACCTGACACCAGCAAACCCATCCAACCATACTGGGAAGATCTTAAACATCCCTGCCAGAGGTGACACGTGGAATAGTTGAACTGGCTTATCTCTATAGTTAAAAAGAAAAACCTAGAATTTTTTTTCATCTTTCTCTTCTCCACTTCCCTACAATGATTACTTAAAGATCAATACATGGAAAAGGAAAATAATCCCCCCAAAAAAGAGATTCTAATGGCACCCACACAGATAATATAAATGCATAAACAATAAAATATTGTTTAGCTATCCAGTTGCAACTCACACATGAGGCATGGTTCCAGTTGCCTTCCTTAACACACTGTTCCCTTTCTCTCATTCTCCCACCCTTCCTCCTTAGCTTGTTTCCTCTCTCCTTAGTTTTTATTCCAAGTGTATTTTTAAAGAGTATTTTCTGGAGAGAAGTGGCTCTGGCATGTGTGGATCCCACCTTCCACAAATATGTCATGATCAAATGACATATTCTGTACAGTTTAGCTGTTCACTTAGAGATTGTAGCATTTCTCAGTGTAGAGTTAACAATAAAAACAATGAAAATTTCCCCAAAACAGGAACATTTTCATGGTACCAATGAACATTTTCTTGCTGGTGGAGGGGTAGAAGAATCCTGTCCCTTTGGGGGGGGAGTTTCCATTTCCTTCCTCCCCTTCCCAGCTCTAAGAACTCTTTGCATTTAGAGGATGGCTGTTTCAGAAAAAGCATTCTGTGTTTGAAAATTGCAGAGAATACATTTTGCAAGAAGTGCCTGTGTTTGCCCTTGTTCTGACACACTTTAGGGATCATTATGGGTACTAAAAAGGAAAAAAAAATGGCAAATCAAAGTCACTGTTTTCAAATAAAGGAAGTTTCCTGCCACTTCTCTTGCCTTTCAAGGTACAACGGAGCATTGGAAACTTGCTACGTCATTTCTTAAATGTCCACTAATGAGTTCTGAGCTTTTTTTATTTTGTGGCACACCCGTAGACTCCTGGTTCTCCAACACGTAAGGTGTTGGTGTTTCAGTAATCTAAGCCTATTTACCTGCTGCTATTCCCTCAGAATGGGAGCAATAATTCAAGATGAAATACAGCATGTATTACTCTTGAAAAGAGGAATTTTCTATCCTTTTCTCCGTAATTGAGGTCATTCAACCACTAGGGTTCACCTGGAGTCCATACCGTGATACACGCGTCACTCCAAGCCATTTTATCTTTTGTGCTGATAGTCAAGATCGCAGCTCTAACATTGACATCAAACTCTGTCTGGGCAGATGACTAAGAGTGCTGCACAACGTAAACTTTTGACCCTCAACTTTTTGACCTGCAGTTGCAACGCACTAACCACAAAGATATACAAAGCTGTGCCTTTTCTTTCAGGGAGAAGACCCCCAGCCCCAGGATCTCAGGGAAGCCCTATTTCTGCCTCTTAGAATAAGAGGGTACACTGGATAATTTTGTGTGTTTGTGACTGTATTTTCTGTCATACCTCTTTTTTTTTTTTTTTGTCAGCACTTAAAATAGGGATGAGATTATTTTGAAGTCACTCATCAGTACATTTACGAGGAAAATTGGGAGCAGGGCGGGGAAACCTCACAAATAGCGAGAGAAAAAAGATGGGGAAAGCAGGTAATGGAAGTTAGAGACCTTTTTCTCCTTTATTTAAAAATAAAGACGCAGCCCTAATTGTTGGGCAAGCTGGCCCAGGCAGACAAGTTGACTGTGAACTTGTACTAAAGCGTGCTCTGCTGGCGATTCCTAGGGTGTGCAGATTTATCTTCTCTGCATTTACTTAACCCGGCAGTGAACTGCGCGGGCGTCATTTGTTAGGTGATGACAGACTTCACCTCTAGCAAGGGCTGCTTCACAAAATCGCAATAATTACCCAATAACCTTCATAACAAATATTATTATTGAAAGGACTGGTTTGTGGGGAGGGGACATGGTGGGAGAAGGAAGCTTTCTTTGTGAAAAACACCAAACAAAACAAACCTAGGCAGATCTTCCAGTTCTGGGGGCTTTGAATGGCTAGGACTGAGGTGCCCCACTCCAATGTGGACTGGAGCCTAGGCTGACCCCCTTAGCCCTGTCTGGATGCCCCATTTACAGTTTTATCATTGACTGGGAAAAAATTCTGCCCTAGAAGCCAAAGGGATGAAGCCACAGTGCTCTGCACTCTCCACGATGGACAAACCTCCGACAGACCCCAAGCTAAGGCGGGGTAGAGGCTTCGAAGGGCAACTTTTACGCTAAAAGGATTGTTTTCCCCTTTAATAGCCCATCTTTCAGGATGTAATTTGCTCTCCCCTTACTAATTGTTTGGATATAACACTCCTCAGATCTCAACACATGAACATGACTCTGTTTCTGGTAGAAAATTCTGTCTTGCTCTCCCAGAGCTGCCAACAATGAAGCAGAGGAAAGAGCAGAAGAAAAGGAATCTTGGCATAATGTTGTGAAATTAGACCATGGAAACCCTAACAAACCCCTAAGTGAGTGTGACCAGAAGCTTCCTATTATATTTATAGTTCAGGAAATATTGTCTCTTCGGCTTGTAGAAACAAACGGGGCCCTGCACATTTCGGACACCTTCTCCTTTTACAAGACAAGAAACACAGACAGACACTTCTGCCACTGGCTGAGGCTGGATGTCTTCATAGAGCCCTCAGGGAAAGGGATTTTCTTTTTAAGTAAGTTTCTTTGCAAAAACAACCTAAAAGAATGCCTGAGAAGAAATAACTTATCTACAAAATGAGCAGATAACCAGCCATCCTCTTTACTATGCTTCCTATGAAAATAGGAAGAAATAAAAAAAAAAATTCCTCCAGTAATGCTCACATGGGTCTGACTGGACACTGTGTTTTTTTCTTAAAAGTCATTGAACTCCATGTGAGTTGGCCTGCCCATGAAACTCTAAAGTTTCATGAAGACTACAACAGACAGAAATAAGCAAGCTGACAATATTTATAGCCTCTAATTCTTTTAAATCATGGGAAAGTTTCTCTATATTGTGTGATGCTGGATATGGGTCCAGCAGCCTTTCTGCCCATTCCCACACCCAGGGTGGGAGGTGGCCACAGAGGGGATGTGGCCGCTTCCTCCAGGCGAGTAACTCAAGTGAATCTGCCAGCAGCCCTACAACTCTTTTTTCTGCTACTAATTTTAGTCACCAAGAAATTACTCAAGCAAGATCACCAAATGAGCAACTAAAATCAAACCTTCCCTCAGTATTTTCCAACAGAGAACCCAAAACTCAGAGCAGCAAAACGGAGACTCCAGAATTCTTACAGACACTTAAAATAATAAAAGAGAACCCAAAGAGAGTTTCTATTTTGGTTTCCACCCAGATGCAGACATTCGCCTGAGTGCTGAAATAGCAGTGCTCACTTTAACAGGTTACAAAAAATGACTTCAGGGATTTGCCTTGCCACTCACTGTTCAAGAGAAGTGGGAATAGTGGGAGGGTTTCGATTTTTTAGAAAACTTCCCAGGTTTTGCTTTTTGGACCTCTGACTTTGGGGACATCTGTTGGACTAATGTTGAGTGCAAGTGGCCTCTGGACAATAGAGTATGTTGAAATTCCAAATCTATACCTAAAATTTTTTCACTGTAAGCACTTAGTATGTATCTTTACCAATTAGCACTTGCAGAAAACTACCCAGTTCCCAAGAAGGAAAGCATTTGGAAACAGAAGATCCCCTTTTTTGTTGTTTGTTTGTTTTTGTTTCATTTCTAAGTTGGAGAGTCTGGATTAACTCCTCAGACAGGAGAGGGGGAAATCCGCTAGGTCCCCTGTGGGTACCCACCCAGAGAAATACCCCTGGCCAGGCCACAGGGTCCCCAATCACCACTTTGCCATTGAAGAATGTGGGGGCGTGGGGGCTTGGGGCCAGAGGGGGTGGCTGAGGCCAAGCTGGAATTGTACCCAGGAAAAATTTATTTTACCTTACTTCACCCGTTGGTGCAATATTGAGGACTGTTTTGGAAATCATAGATTATGTAAATTTCCTGGGATCAAACAGAAAGAGCAACTAACAAAAGAAAGGCGGAAATCTCCTACTGACAAACGACCAATTTCTTCCCTCAACTACCCTTTATGACGTGTCAGGGAAAACAACCTAATGGCTCTGGGGACTTTTAAGTTGGGCATTGAAGACACCTCGATTTCCCCCCCAAACTTTAGGGCACAGTTTGGAGGAATTCTCCCTGTATGTTGAGGGAGAGTCAATGTCTCTAATCTTTAGTGCTATCTAGGGGGACGCCTAAATTGCCTTTTGAGGGTCCTGTGCATAGATGTTTTAATTCTACAAAAGAGGAGAGGAAAAGGAAAGAAGAGAGAGAGAAGAAAGGCAAGGCGGAAGAAAAGAAAGCGCTTTAGCTCCTTTCATTTAGCCTGGGGATTCAAAGACTAAAGTTAAATCCGGCCATAAAGTTTATTGCTTCAGACTCACAGGCGGGTGAGAACAGTCCCACCGAAATAAAAAGAACGTGCAGGCCAGCAAGGTTCAGGGCCTGGTCCCGGGCGCGGGGGAGGGGGTGGAGAGCCCTCCCCACAGGTGGGGTTCCCGCGGTCCCCAGCGCCCAGGGCTCGGCCTGGCAGCCCCAGGGGCTCAGCCTGGAGGTGCGGCCCGCGCCTCGCCGACCTCTGCCACCCTCCGGCTCTCGCGAGCCAGCTTGAAACCCGGCCCCGAAGGCAGCCGCCTCAATTCAGGGCTGCCAAATGACCCAGGCCTGCGAAGACATATTGCCACAGCCCCAGAAGGAATCCCGCCAGAGTCCGCCGTGGCCCAGCCCGGGCCTTTCTTTCAAACTCCCAAGCTCGGCGCGGCCCTACGCGCCCGCGGCCCGCGCCCCCCTGCCTCCCAGCCCCCACCCCAGGGCTCCGATACCCCCAGAAGAGCCGAGAGCCGCCAGCCCGGAATGGGGGGCCGCCCTGCCAAGTCCCCACACACAGGCCCAGTCGCACACAAAAATCATCTTTTTCTGCACGCCGCCGGCGAGAGCAGCGGAAGTCATTAACATCCGCGGTGGTGCAGCAATTAAAGTTAGGCCTGGGGATGCGGCGCGGCCACAGGCGCTGTTCACCGTGGTGACTCCGCAGAGCAGGCTCCTGGCGCTGCTCAGGGGGGCAGAGGGAAAGTTTGCGCTCCCCTTTTGAATTTAGAGGCAACTTCAGAGTTACTGAACCAGCTAGAGAGAGAGAGAGAGAGAAAGAAAGATCCAGGAAGAAAGTTTTTAAGAGTACAAATAAACTTGAAAGCGCTCAGGAGGCGAGCTTACCTTAACACGGAGGGAGCCATTTTTCAGAGAGTTTTGAGAACTTGTGGTTTGGACACTTCTGGACCTAAAATTGACAATTTGAATGACCAAGCGGCACACGTAGCCTGCAAAAGAGTCAAATGGAGTCCAGCGTCAGTGAGATTATATGTTATGTGGTATATAATGTTGGATGTCAACTCCCCAAAACCATAAAACTTACTTTAATGGCCCCACGTGACGTTTTATAGCCAGTGAGCCGATCTGTCTGTGCTATGGATGATTTTACGATCTAATTCATAGACAAAACCCTATTCATTTGGCACCCAAATGTCATATAGCCGGAACTGGGGCTTATAAAGTTTACTGTTTTATAACTTTTAAAAGGAAAGACGGCATCAGTGTAAGCAGTCGGTAAATGTGCAAATCTCTAGTTGCGCTTTAGCTGCTCTGAGGAGTTTCCCAATCGAGCTAGGATGGGGTAAGTACCTTCCATTTGTAGCAAATTAATTGTAGCAAAAGAAGCCAACTGGGTTCAGGGTGAGGAATGGGAAGGGGTGCCTGGCTGGGTTAGAGGCAGAGGGTTTGGGGGCCACAATGTGACATAGCAGCCTCTTCAAGTGGAGCCCACGATGGCCTTAGGAAGCAGGCAGCATCTGTGTGGGCCTGTGGGCTACTAACAAAGCCCTGGGCTTTTCTTCCCTTCTCTCTCTTCCTTTTTTTTTTTTTTTTTTTTTTTTTTTTTTTTTAACCCAGCAAGTTAAACTTGGTTTCCTCAGTGATGGGCAGGTTGGGCTCAAGCTTTGGAAGCACCTACAGCTTTTCCACCTTCTGCCCTGAACTTTCTGAAAGGTCAGAGTTAGGGAGGCTGTGGGTCAGGGTGTTGGTCTGAGGTCTCCTTGCACAGGCAGGCTGCTCAGGTAACCTCAGACTCACCGCTTCCAGGACTGGACAGATAGAAAGAAGAGCAAAAAGAGCCGCTCACTATTTGGCACAAACCAGACCAAGAGAACTTACAATAGAAAGTTTATTTTTTGTTTCCAGTCAGTATTTTTTTCCTTAAAAACAAATACAAAAAAAAAAAAAAAAAAAAGCTGATCACAGTTTGCTTAAACAGCCAGACTTGGACAATATTTGTAACTTTGTTCACAAAAACATACATCACTGAAGCTGCGCTTATAAGAGCCACTTCCAGAGTTCGTGCAAAGGGTCCTACAAAGGCACGCAGGGACACACCGCTCGGAGTCACAGTTTTTGTCACAGAGTCACTAGTCACTACACGTCAAACAAGTTAAGTTGTGTCTCATCAAGTCACCTCTACAACAGCATTAATTACACAAGGAATATAGGTAGTTTGAATAAAAATATCTTTAACAGCTTGGAGCTATTGAGACAGGAACACTTCCACTCACATGCACAGTTAAACAACTGGAGTGCAACACACAACATTGGCACTAAACGGGGTCGAAGGGGGACTTTTTTGTGTGTTTTTTCTCTTTTCTTTTCTGTTATAGTTACTTCAAGTAACACAGCTTGCTTCATATAAATAAGTTAAAACATCTATTTTTTTTTCAAGACAAAGCCATTCAGGACAAAGAGATGAACAGAAAGCAGATCTACTTATACAGGCGCTATAATGGCAATAAACAGGCTCATGATTAAAAGATGAATTAGGGCAACGAGAACAGGGCTTCTTCACAGAAGGAACACAAGGGAGTTTCAGAAAGTCACCTTAGTACTGACACTATGCAGGATCCGCTAATACTGCTCAGTACTTTAAACGCTCAAATACTCAGGGGCGGAAGGCCCCTCCCGCCGCCGCCATGCTCATGCTTTTCAGCTTATTATCTTTTTTCCACTTCATTCTCCGGTTTTGGAACCAGATTTTAATCTGTCTCTCGGAGAGGCAAAGAGCATGTGCTATTTCAATCCTTCTTCGGCGGGTCAGGTAGCGGTTGAAGTGGAACTCCTTCTCCAGCTCCAAGGTCTGGTAGCGCGTGTAGGCCGTGCGGGCCCTTTTGCCTTCCGGGCCGCCTATGTTGTCTGCAACAGAAAAGTCAGCGGTTTAGCCACCAACTCCTGAGCCTCTGGCCACCAAAGTCGGCCAACTGGACGAGTCAGGGTCCTGAGTAAGGTACAGGGGAGAAAAGCTCAACAAGTCCTCCCTCCTCGGCCGCCCACCCTTCCCGAATTTCCTTCCCTCTTCCTTTCTAGAGAGAAAACAATACAATTTGGACTCTGGGAACAATCGGCCCATCCGAGGCTGGAGACACGACCCGGAGGATCGCCCAGCTTCCCCTCGGCCCTCTCCTGCCCTCTGGCCCTGCCCCTGGCGCCCCGAGGCGGGGGCACAGCCCTTCCAGGCTGCCCACCACTCAGAAACCCACCAAAGCAAGGCCCTTTTCTGAGCGCCTAAGTGGCCTCCAGGTTACCCTCCCTTAAAGTTCCAGCCCCAAGAGCCGCCTCCTGTTCCAGCCTGCACGCTTGGGGTCCCTGCTTTCTTTTTCTTCCCTTTCCTTTCCTGCTTTTCCTCCTGCCCCCAAACTCCAGAATCCCGCCGGCTCTCGCCTGGATTATTCCTCTCCCCCCCTCAAGCCCCTTTTCGGGGACTCTAATTAGTAACGCTGTTTCCCCAGCGTAGCCCTCCTCATAAATTATCCGTTCTGACAAGCCCGATTCACAGCCCCTACTGCCATCCTCTACCTCTTCGCGCCCTGCTTGGCTGGTCTGACCCAGGAGCGCGTTCCGAGGCGCTGGGGTTCGACATGGGTTTTCTCCTTTCCCCCCTTCCACCGTCTAAACTTGACTATCCAGCGGCCCATTCCCCCAACACACTTGCGAGCACAGGGCTCTGCAAAGAACAGAAGGAGGATGGAGGAAGGCAGGGAAGGAGACCGGCGGAGAGAGGCTCCACGGGGCTGGGAGAGGCGAGACCCGGAGAGAGACGGGGAAAGAGGGCGTTAAAGCAGGGAAGGGGACCGAGAGCCGCGCCGCCCCTGCCGCGTGGATTTAGAAAAAGGCTGGCTTTACCATGACTTATGTGTAGCTTGCGCATCCAAGGGTAGATCTGGGGTTGGGCAGGCGGCGCCGGGCTCGGCTCGCTCTGCGCGCTCGCCTGCTCGCTGCTGGCGGGGGCGTCCTCCTCGGCTCCGGACGCCGTGCCAACCCCCTCTCTGTTGCTGATGTGGGTGCTGCCGGCGTTGGCCGAGGCGCCGCTGGAGTTGCCCAGAGAGTTTTTCCCGCCGTGGTGGCTGTCGCTGCCGGGCGAGGGGGCCACGGCGGAGCAGGGCAGCGGGTCGGGCGGAGGCGAGTGCGTGGACGTGGCCGGCTGGCTGTACCTGGGCTCGGCGGGCGCCGCGCTGGCGCCGGCCGCGTAGCTGCGGGCGCGCTCCCCGGAGCCAAAGTGGCCGGAGCCCGAGCGGCCGACGCTGAGATCCATGCCATTGTAGCCGTAGCCGTACCTGCCGGAGTGCATGCTCGCCGAGTCCCTGAATTGCTCGCTCACGGAACTATGATCTCCATAATTATGCAACTGGTAGTCCGGGCCATTTGGATAGCGACCGCAAAATGAGTTTACAAAATAAGAGCTCATTTGTTTTTTGATATGTGTGCTTGATTTGTGGCTCGCGGTCGTTTGTGCGTCTATAGCACCCTTGCACAATTTATGATGAATTATGGAAATGACTGGGACATGTACTTGGTTCCCTCCTACGTAGGCACCCAAATATGGGGTACGACTTCGAATCACGTGCTTTTGTTGTCCAGTCGTAAATCCTGCCTGATGACCTCTAGAGGTAAACTCGTGCACTAATGGGGGAGTTGGGTGGAGGAGAGAGGGGTGGCGCGCGCGCCCCGGGCGCGTGCCCGCCGCCCGCCGCCGCCGTTCAGTCGGACTCGAGCGCCACCCGCTGGAAGCAGGGTGCATCGCTCCGCTTCCGACCCGGGGCTGCAAGGGCCGGGGTCGAATTGAGGTTACAGCCCATTATAGCAAAATTATTGCATTTCCCTCGCAGTTCCATTAGGATGTACCAATTGTGAGGCCGTCAGCTGCCGATCGCGTGCCCGGCGAGGATGCAGAGGACTGGGGGGGAGATGGAGACTTGGATTTTATTTACAACAACTTTATTTCCCCGCTGTGCAGCCCCTCTTATTTTTGTATCGAGGTTGGGGCCGGTTCTGCCCGTCGTGCCGGCAGCTCTGAAATTTGAAAATACAGATATCACCTTCGGGGAAGGGGGGGAGGCCATTTAACCAATTGGAGAAATAAATCCTGCCCACAGCAGCAGCTACAATTACGGCTCTGTTTTTGCGAGCGCATGAGGGACAGTGTCCCTGCCGCTCTTAAATGACAGGCGTCTATTAAAGATAGCTTTTGTGTAGTGTTTCTCCGAGGCGAGGTCAAATTCCATACACTTTTATAACCAGATTCGATTTTTCTTTCGGGTAAATATAGCTTTCGTGTCATTAGTTTCCTATTTGATTTGCTTTAAGTATCCAGCCTGGAGAATCTTCACCACTGGGTCCTTTTCCTGGAGCCAGCCGGGCCCCAAGTCGGAGGGTCTCGGTGAACCCAGCGAGTGGGCCCAGGCTCCCCACAGCCACAGAAGCTTCTTGGGGGCTGTGGATCCGTGGGCCGAGTTATTAGGGTCTTGCTTAGACCTCCAGGAGTAAAACGAGGGCGTTAATAGAAGCATTTCGTGGCCGTGCCTAGTATCTCCGTAGTTCTTTTCCTGGGATCTGAAAGATGAAAGTAAATCACAAATATAGCCGAAAGGCACGGGAGGATTTCCCCGCTGGAGGCCCGGCGGAGCAGGCACCCCTGGCACGCTTGGAAACCGTGACTCTTGCCGCTCCCATGGCCCTGGGTCCCCTTCTTAGGTCCTGAAAGCTGCTGTAGTGGCAGAGCCAGCACTGTCGGAGGCGGGGAGCCGGAATCCGGAGCCCAGAGCCTACGGGAGCCCGGTCGCTCCCGGGCTGCAAAGTTCCGCCCGTGCCCAGGTTGACTGGTCTCGGCTGAGGCTTCTCCTCCACGGACGGTTGCGCGCGGGGCCGAGAGACTAGGCTCTCTCGGGGCCCCCTTTGTTCCTCCAGCTTCTTCCTGGCTGGGGGCGGCCTGCGAGGCTAGCCGCAGTGCTAGGGCCCCAAGCTTCAGGCCCCCTCTTTGCAGTGGCCGGAGTCAATTTGGTGGTGCCCTTCGGGACTTGGTGGCGAGGAACCGAGGTCAAAACCCCCAGACACCACAAGCGGCTCGGTCCCGGGGTTCTTCCCTCTCCAGCAACCCCGCGTCCCGAGCCCAGGGGCACGCAGAGGCTCTAGCACAAGAGCCGGGGACGAATTTGGGGCTTGCCCTGGGATCCGGAGAGGGCTTGGGCAGCCTTGGAGAGCAGGGTTGTGTGTGCAATGCGCCCCGCTCCACCGCTGGGATTGGCTGTGTGTGTGTGTGTGTGCGTGCGTGTTTTTCTTTTGTAAGAAACAAATGCTCAGGCGTTAGCAAAGCTCCGGGCTCCCCTGAAGCTCCGTAAACCCCCCGAATGGTAGCGGGCGGGGAGAAAAGTTGGGGAGCAGGCGAAGGCAAGGGGGCAAAGCCGAGGGAGGTTGCGGTACTGGCCTGGTCCCTGCCCAGGCGTCTACTCGCCCGCCTTTGCCTCAGCTTCCTCCCCGCTGGGCTGTGTGGAATTGATGAGTTTATTTTCCTTTTTCCACTTCATGCGGCGGTTCTGGAACCAGATCTTGATCTGGCGCTCGGTGAGGCAGAGCGCGTTGGCGATCTCGATGCGGCGGCGCCGGGTCAGGTAGCGGTTGAAGTGGAACTCCTTCTCCAGCTCCAGCGTCTGGTAGCGCGTGTAGGTCTGGCGGCCTCGGCGCCCGTGACTCCCGTACACAGCACCTGCAGGCAGAAACGGCCAGACGCCGGTGAGCCAGGATCCGGGCAGCCGAGCCAGTCAACCCCGCGCCCCGCGCCCCTGGCCCCTGGGCTGGAAACCACCTGCCTCCACTCCAGCCTCTCCCATTAAGTCTTGGGCCAAAAGCCGGCTGGACGGGAGAAGATTATTTCACACCAAGAGAGATGTTTGCCAACTAAAACTACTTGGGGTGGGAAGTTATTGTTTTTGAAAAATCTTCTCTGGGTGGGAAGTTATTGTTTTTGGAAAATCTTCTCTGTTAAAAAGCCATTATAAGCAAAAGACTATAATGAGCATTCTTAACTCTGGATGCCTAAGTCTTCTTCTGTTGGAGCGTGGTGTCTGTATGTCTGGGAGTGGGGGTGTGGAACCCTGTGAGTAGGGTAGACACTCCAAATCCACAAAGGGGTTTCTGTGAAGATGCTACTGTGGCCAGCCATCTCAGGACTCAAAGTGCTTTGGGGAAAATTAAAAATTGTCAACCTTCTCAAGTCTTTGCAAGTTCCCTCAAATTGCATGGCCCTTCTGAGAAACACAGAGCTTCCTTGAAGAAAAAAAAAAGTGGATTTTAAAGCAAAAACACTGTACATTTTAAAATGCGCATTAGGCGCTGTCCTGCTCCAAGGATTTCCTGTGGAGTGTTTGGAAACTAGGGGCAAAGAGATGGAGCTGTGGGCCATCTGTGGTTCCTGGAAATGTGGGACTGGGGTGGGCTATCTGTTCTGGTGCCGAAGGGGCCCATGGGTGGGGGCTCCCCCCAAGCTGGGTGTCTTAGACGCAGGCAGGGTCTCAGACAGAGGCAGAAGTTGGCTGTAAGTGAGCAGTTAAGTGGAAGGGGGAGGAGGGAAGGGAGGAGAGAGAAGAAACACTGAGGTTGGGGATGTGGCCCTCCAAGGCTTTGAGGTGACCCCGGAAGAGGCCCAATAAGGGCCTCTAGCTATATGACTTTCTGAAGGGCAGAAAGGAGAGAGGGGTGGGAGGGGACGAGCAGTTATCAGTGATGGGTGCAGAAGGCCACCTGGGCTTGGGAGTCTGAGCAGGGAGTCACCAGGGTGCAGGGTGGGCAGGAGCTCCCTCCCATCCAGCCTGGCTCTCCTCAGGATGCCCCTGTTCCCAGCCTTACATAGCATGGCAGTGACCCCCCCCCCACACACACACATACAAACATGATCCCCTAAGGTGTCACCTTACATGGACACTAGTGCCCTGCCTTCACTCTGCCATGGCTTGATTGCACCACTGGGAATGGGATGGGGGTTTTTAAATCTCTTTTTTCCTAAAGCCAGAGAAACTTTGTTCATTCTTTCTGTCTTCCTATTTCCACTGTCGACTTTCTCTGTCTCTTCCTTCCTCCTTTCCTCGCTTCCTTCCCCTTCTCCCTCCACTCTCTTGGGGCGGGGGGCGGGGGGTCTGCTGCTGCAGGGAAATGCCTTACCAGCGCAGGAGTTCATCCGCTGCATCCAGGGGTAAACAGGACTCGTGTACTTCCGGTCGGTGCCTTCGTCATGGAGGGCTTTGCCCGGCACGCTGCTGCTGTCGGGTTTGTACTGTGCTTCGGGAGAAAAGTGCAGGTAGTCCCCGGGGCCCCTCTGCTTGCCACTGCCCGAGGGCGAGGCGCCACTGAGGTCCTTATCAGAATAGAAACACGAGGCCCCGTACTCGTAGGACGCCCGGTTGCAGGCCAGGACCGAGTTGGACTGTTGGTAGAAACAAGGTGAGGTGTACGTCTTGTCCGGGAGGCTCGACGCCCCGTACGAAGCCGGGAAGGGCCTCAGCGCGTCATAGCCGGCCGGGTAGAGGGGCAGCTGGCCCAAGAAGGAGTCCTGGCCGCTGGGCAGGCTCCCGGGGAAAGTGGGATTCACAAAATAAGAACTCATTTGCGCGCCCCTCTGCAGGACTGTGATTTGTTGTGTATTAGTACATCTGGCTATAACTATTAGTAGTCATCGAACTGGTTTGTTTCTGGATGGCCGAACGCCAAAAGCGACAGCAGCAAATCGCACCAGCTGACGCGGCGGCGGCCAATGGGAGCGAGCGCCGGAGCCCGCTCCCCGGGGACCGCGGCGACCGAGGCAGCAAAGTTACAAACAGCCCCCAGCCCGCCCGCCCGCCGCCCGCCCGGCAGATTAATGGGCGCGCACAGCCGGCCGGCCCGTCTCCCTTCCCGAACGCCAGCGGCGGGCACTGCCCGGGCAGGAGTGTGAGGATCCGGCTGGGGCTGGGGCGCAGCTCCCGGGCCGCCGCCGCCAGGCCCCGCCAGGCCTCACGCTCTTTCCTCCTCCCCTTTTTGCCTTGTTGGATTTTGCTTGGTTTTCTTTCCAAACAGGAAACCTGACAGCCCTGCGCCCCGAGGGGCGGTGACAGGGATGGCTTTGCTCTCTGTGGCCTGCCCTTCTGGCAGGGCCCAGAGTTTGCCCCTCCCCCTGCACTCCTCTACCCGTGGGTGCGGGTTCCGGAGCTGGAGAAGGGCTCCGAGAAACCAGGCCCGAGCTCCTTGCTCCGCACCCTTGCGCCTTAGGAATTGGTGCATCCCCTCCTTCTCTCCTTCCCCACGCCTATCGAGGGCCTAGGCCTACCAGCTGCCGAAGGCGGAAGGCTCACCTGGCGCTGACCAGGACGCGGCCAAAGGCACCCTCTTACCGCGCCCTCCCCTCCTCCCACAGACAACACATCTTTGAGTCCGACTCCCTCCACTCCAATGGCCACCGACTGCCTGGCCTCAAAGCACCTCCACCTCCACAAGCTGAGCGTCCCCGTTCCACCTTTGAAACCAAGAACTGATAGGCCAGAAACCACTGGTTTCTCCAGGAAAGGGGCCTACGGAGGAGTGGCCTTGAGCCTGAGCTCTGAAGCCAGCTGCGGGACCTGCTCTCCTCGCGCAAAGCCCCGGGAGTCGCCCTCTGCCCCGTGGACCTCTCAGGACTGAGACGCATCTAGGTAGAGAATCTCTGTCCTCATTCCAGAGGTGCGACCGACTCAGGGTCCCTGGCCCAACCGGTCAGTGAGGGCAGTCCCCTGGGCCCAAGTCTGCGGGGATAATTGATGTGCTTAGTGTCTGGGGAGCCCCACGCTGCCGAGCACTGTCCTGGAGTGTGTCCTCTTTCCTGCCTTGCCTGGGACGGGTCCGCGGCCTGCCCCAGAGAGTCGCTCCTGAACGGGGACCAGTTGTCTCACCAGCTCCAGGAAATCGTCTGAATTGCTTTTACCGCAGTCCCAGGCCCTGCCTCCCCCAAACAGGACATGAAAAGCCTGTTCTGGGCTGCTCTCTCTCGCCTGAGAGGTGTGTCTTTGAGAGAGTTGACTTTCACAGCGCATGGATCAATCTCATTTTGTAAAATGTGATCTCTTTCCAATTGCATTTTTACGACTGTATTTTGGGGGCTTGTAAAACCCCTTGAGTTAGCTTTAAAATCCTCAATTCTGTGAAGACTGAAGAAAGACTATTTATATGGTTTGGTTGAGTTTCTGGAGGGTGTTTATAAGATCTGTAAAACTCTGGCAAATGCAGAGAATGGGGTTCAGGACTTGTGGGGGTGGCAATGGCCCCCTAGGAATCTGGAAATGATTTTCTTAATCTCTCCCTTGATTTTCCATCCCCCACCCCCACCCTCACTTCTCCCTAAAGGGAACAAAAATGGAAAAGGACTGGGCTAAGGTCGGCTGGGGGCACAGAGCCCAGCGTACACTCTTGAAAGAGGCTGTTCCCACCCCCGGGGGCTGTGCCTAAAAACCTTCCGGCCGCGCCCCAATCAGTCTAGCTGGGAAAGTTTCTCCTTTGCACATAGGAAAATGGACCTGGGAGGAAAGGGTCGCATTTTCTATTTCCCTTGCATTTCTTCAGGGAAAGGGTCTGATAGATGAGAATAAAAACTCAAGAGTCAAAATATTTTAAGGAAATTATTTTTTAAAAGCTATGTTCCAAGAAAATCATGTTCAGTTATTGTTTCTTAAACAAGACCATCAGATGACAGTGATTTCAAAGCAAGTTATTACGTAAGATGGGAAAAAAACGTTTGGAGATGTTGACAAATGATTACATTTATAATTTCTGCTTCGTTCCTCCAGGTCCCACACAGTGTTGGGGTTGGTGGCAGTTTACTACTGTTATTATTGTTTGTTATGTTTTGACCTGGATTCTCAATCTACTACGGGTCCCAGCCGACAAGAGAATTTGATTTCTCAGCTAAGAGCCAAAAAACATTATATTTCAAATTTCTATAGGCACTAAGATGGAAAATATATTAAATTGAAATCTATACATGTTAGCCAAGGCTTGTAAATATCATGTTGGCGGCTGCCCAAATTTATTTCTCCAACCAGCGACTAGAGAGAGAGAGAGAGAGAGAGAGAGAGAGAGAGAATACTCAGGCAAGAATAGGAGCCGCAGGCGTCGGAGGGGGCCTTTCCTGGGGTAGTGAGAATGGTCATCAGTGCTCTCTCTTCTCAGTCAAAGCCACACAGAAAGTCCACTTACCTTTCAGCTTCTCTTCAAAGGGGATGGGATGGAGAGCAGGGCCCCACAATCCGCCCTTTCCCTGGGCTGCCCACTGAACTCCTCGGCCTCTGCCAGCCTGGAGGGCGACCTGCCGGTGTTGGGGGGGGGGGTCTTGAAGGCCATCTCCTCCGCCCCGATCTCTAGCCCAGACCAGAGCCCACAGCACACAGGTGCGGCCTGTGCCTGTCACCGGCTCTCGCCTGGAGCCAAAGCCCGCCTTCCTTGCCATAGTCAATCCTCCTCAGGGCCAGCCAGGCCTGCAGGCCTCAGGACTACCAGTGGTCTCTGTGATTTCAAAATCCCAAAGCGCTGCGTTCCCCGAACCAGCGTGCGCCCCCAGGGCGCCTTGGGACGCGCAGTTTGGACAGAAGCAGCCATGACGTGCCAGGCGGCCTGTGCAACCAGTCTCCATGGTGCAGGGGGGGAGGGGGGACCCGAGTCTAGTCGGGCGTCCAGCTCCTGTCAGGTGGCCAAGGCGGGGGAGGTTCCCGGCCAGTAAGGCCCTGGGAGACCGCCCCTCAGGTCCTCCCTCGCCCCCCTCTCCTCGGCCTGCTTGGGAATCTGCGAGGGGCCCGAACAGCAGTCGCGCTAGGCTGTACGACGCGGGGCTGCGGCTGGCGTCGGTCCCGGCGACGGCCACAGCGTGGCAGCAGCGAGCCGCCCGGGCTCGGTCGCAATAAATAATGGGCCCGCGGCAGCCGCAGTCAGGCCGCCCGCGGCCCTGCAATGCAAATACGCCGCTTTATCTGCCCTGAGCGCACCCAGGGCGCCCGCGGGCGTCCCGAACCTCCATAGCCAGTTCTTCAGTACCTCATGCATACCAAGGTAGTATCTTAAGGTGGGGAAACAACAACGTAAACCAAAAAACAAACATAAAGAACTGGAGCCCAAAACCTCAGGGTGGTTTCAGGTCGCTGTCGCAGGGAGCTCCCGGGGCAAATCCCACCGAGAGGTACCCAGACCAAACCGTGTTGTGTGCCACTGCGCGACGTACAGCTGACCCCGCGGTCCCCTCCGCCGCCTCCGCCCGGGATGCTCCACAGTCCTCCCCGCCCCCCGCCCCCGGCCTCGCCGAAGGTGGGAGAGCGGTCCCCGGCCCACGGCGCCGAGGTGCGTGGGTGGGGGTCCCGGGTATCGCCCAGACTCGGTTGGCGTCCTCCTTTCAACCTTAGCCCCGGGCGCCTGCCCTTCGTAATAACACCACTCAACCCTCTGCACCGAAACTTCCCGCCAAGCAACACCCAGCCAATTAACCCCATCCTCTCCTCCAACACAGAATTCCACTCGCGCGCCTCTTCCCTCTCCCCGCGCTCTGACATCGCTCGCATCGGAAAACCGCGTGGAAGGAAGCTGGCAATCAGCAGAGGACTCTGGCTGAATTAGTAAGTTTTTGTTTGTTCCCCTCCCCGTCTCCCCTGCATTCTACCTTTCTTTCCAGAAACCAGTTCCCACGGAAGAGAAGGTGCTGTGCTGATGGTATAAAACGCCTGTCGATCCATTCACTTTGCCCTCACTTCTTCCCACCTTACCAGGTCGGGATCTATCCCCGGTCGTTGGGGAATTCAATCGAACCAAGTGTATCATTAATGAAAAAAGAAAAAAAATCCAAACCCGAGAGGCTGGGGTTGAGCGCAGGGTGCAGGGCCATTTCCTTTGGGGCTCGGCCAGGTCGCTGGGCCCGGGGAAAGGGACCTCAGTGCTCCTGCCCCCGTGCCAGGGCGCTGTGCCACCGGAAGGAAGGCGGGCATTCTCTGCCACTGCGAGCCAGGGAGAGCAGAAAGGGAGCGTGTGTGCGCGCGTGTGTCTGTGGTGGCGGGGGGCTATCGTGTCGTGTGGTGAGGGGGCGAATGTGGACGGTGAGTGTGGGTGACCGGTAATGCGCCCCTCCTCAAAGCCACCCTGCGGGCCCTCTCCCACCCCCGCCGGCGCCGGCTGCCATCTCACCACCTTTGCTCCTGTCTCCCCACATGTCTCACCTTCAGATGGCGGCTCCCAGAAGCTCCTGCCCCTCTGACAGCTGTCGCTTGGGCAGCCCGGGGAGACGAATTGTCCTCCTTCCTGGTGCCAGAGGACGCAGGAAATTAGCCAGGTTGCGAGTTGCAAAGCGGCCGCCGCGGCGCCGGAGACTGGGCGCGCCCCACCTCCAGCTGGAGCAGCCAGGCCCGGCCGGCCCGGGGCCTCGTCTCGCTCTCCATCGCCGGACAAAGCGCAGCCGAGCCCGGCTGTAAGGCAGAGCTCCGAAGCAGGCAGGACGGAGCGGAGCAAAAGAATGCGGCTCTATTCTCGCAAGGGAAATTATAAAAAAGTTCATGTTCACGGTTCCCATCCACATGACCGACAGCGGCCAATGGAAGGGCCGAACAACTCATAAAGTTGTATTGCAAAGTTGTAAATTTTCATAAACAACAACGGATTTATGACCCTTTCCCCATCTCTAAGAGGAGGCAGCTCTTACACCGGCGCCATCTTACCACGGAGGCCGCCCCGACTTGGGGCCGCAGGTTTTACAGACCCAGTTGGGCCGGGTTTTATAAAAGAGCAATAAGAAGCGGGCCCAGCCCAGGCAGGAGACTGGAGTCCTGGTCCTCGCCTGTCTGGCTCACGCTGTTGTGCGCTGTCCCCACCGCCCCTTGCTCCTTCTGCAGCCCCTCACCCTTCCCGCACCCAGGCGCCCCTGCCCAGGCTGCGGCCGGGGTCCGAGTCTCTTGCCTCTTCTCAGATCTCCACGCTGCGGTGCTGGACCCTCACTTAGTCTGCATGCGGGGTGGGGGCTGCCTGCGTCAGAGGCCCTGAATCCCACCTCCCAGCCTGGCGTTAGGTTCAGGGCTCATGGAGAATTCGGGATCGGTGGCAGGGTGATACCCCATTGCAAGCCCACCTCATAGCCTTCGAGGAAAAAGCAGATTTTGTATTCGCTCTTGGAATTTATGGAGGTTTTTAGGGCGGTTCATGGAATATAATGTATCAACCCAAGATTTCGTTTTCAGAGTACCTGGAAAATGTTTGTGCGCACACACACACATAAACCAGGCAAAAATCTCCACCCAGAGACATGCATACAAACAATTATGGCCACACAGAAATGCACACACTGAACTATGGACACAGAAATACATGCAATTATTTATACCCAGAAAAATGTTCATTCCATTACAGACACGGAAATACACATAAGTACGGACTCATCTAAAACTGCATGCGGACGTACATAGAAATACATATACGAGAGGCACACACATACGTATACAAATCCGCACTTTAAAAACCCACCTCCAAAAAGAATTTGCCCCGCATACACACCAATTCATGGACACCCAACCCTTGGACCCTATTTGTCCTTCCACTTTTGCTTCCCTAAACCCCCTTTAAACACACACACACACACATGTGCACGCACACCAACACACGCACACAGCCAGGGCTTGCTTTCCAGCCATGGCCACCCTCCTTCCCAGCCCTCCTGTCCCCAGAAAGAGCAGCCCATGTTTCTTTGTCACCAAGCATCTTTATTTTTCTGTTACATAAAACACCGTTAGCTGGGCCAGGCGGGAAGCATACCTTCCTGTTCCTGGAACCCCAGGCTAGCGCTGAGGGGTACAAGAGGGGACGCAGGACAACACAGGAGATGAAGGGCACTGGAGAGGGCATTGGCTCTCCCCACCTGCTATAGAGTTAGCTCAAGACAACACACCATGCTACAAAGTCACCCCAGTAACACATCCTTCCCAAGTCAAGACATTGCCTTACAAATGAGCTCCGAGACTATATAAATGACAAAAAAATCTTGTTCAAATATACAATATTTGCTATTGTAGGAAAAGTCAGGGTGTACATATTCAACATGGCTGGGCAGTAGAACACAGGCGCGGGAGGGGGCAGGGAGGGGCAAGGAGGCTGGGAGCATCTCTGCAGTCCTACTAAGCAGAGGCTAACTTGGGAACCTGCAGCGAGCGTGGGAATGCTCCCCTCCAGAAGTGGGGGGGGGGGTGATGGGCCTGAACTTGGAGTACCCAGGCCAGAGAAGAGGGGTTCTAGGTTGCAGCACTTAGAATGCTTTGGAATAAATATATTATTTTTCAATTTAAATAGAAGCCAATGCCCTGGACCCCAGACCCCAGCACCTTCTCAGCGCAGCCTCAGGGACCCCACAGGCTGCCAACTGCAAGCAGCAGGGGCCTGGCCTGGGACGGGGCCGGCACTAGGTAGCAGGCAAGCCAGGGAGCACAAAATAGGTAGTTTGGGACAAGTAGGTAGTACTGAGAGAGTCAGGTCCTTGACGGTGTGGGGGAGGTGCTGGGTGTCTGCCAGTGTTGGGACACTCGGGGCTTCCTGGGAGCGGAGGCCCGCTGGGACTGGGCCCGTAGGTAGTTTGGGGGTGCCTCTCTCCGAGGCCTGTGCTAGGTAGTATTTTGGCCATGCCAGCTCAGAGCCAGCCGGCCTGAGGATGAGGGGGTGTCTGCTGGGGGTCCTCGGAGGCAGGGAGGATCCCCATGGGGACCCAGTCTAGGCGGCTGCTGTCCAGAAAAATTGGAAGCTAGAGTGGGTGATGGGGTCGATGGGGTTACAGGTTGGGGACTGTTGTTGTTTTTTTTTTTTTAACATTTTCTTTTTATTTTTCCACTTTTGTAAATAAAATCGGTGAGTCTCTAAAGACGCTTTCCTGACTGTCTGGTGCAGCCAAGGGCCGGGCTGGGCCCCTCATTCCTCCTCCTCCTCCTCGTCTTCTTCATCGTCATCCTCATCCTCAGCCTTGTCGGCCGCAGCGGCAGTGGCTGCTGCAGCGGGCACGGGGCCCTCGGGGGCTGCGGCTGCGGCTGGACCCTCGTCCTTATGCTCTTTCTTCCACTTCATGCGGCGGTTCTGGAACCAGATCTTGATCTGGCGCTCGGTGAGGCAGAGCGCATGAGCGATCTCGATGCGGCGGCGCCGGGTCAGGTAGCGATTGAAGTGGAACTCCTTCTCCAGCTCCAGCGTCTGGTAGCGCGTGTACGTCTGGCGACCCCGCTTCCTGTCAGGCCCTGCAAGCAGACATGGGGATATACGGACACACGGACAGACAAGCCAAGAGGGACACAGACAAGACATTGCATTAGCCAGGCCATCGTCCCAGAGCTCCTACCTTCCTCCCAGCCCTGACCTGCGGCGCGTTCCCCTCTGCCCCGAACTGAGCTGGGGGAGGAGCGGGAGTGATAGGGGAAGACCCCAACTGCGGAGCCAGACACACAGGCAAGCTCCCTGAAGAGGAAAGGCGCAGAATCCCAACTTTACAACCTCCCTTTCCAGCCGGTTAGTCTTCCACAATGTCTTGTTTCCCCCTGACAAAGGGAAATTGTAAATATAGAGTGTGGGCAAGTGGAAGACGCTGCACTTTAGCCATTCAAAGACGAGACGGGCCGCTTCCCGCCTGGCCAGGCAAGTGGGCAACCTTCGCTGGTCCGCACTCTAAGGGCTCCCTTCCTCCCCAGCAGCTCGCGCCCCCATCCCCAGATCTTCCTGGGGATTCCGACCCTCTGTCCCGGCTCCCACCCCCACCCCAGCCTTTACAGGGCCCCTGGCACAGGGGCGTGGGAGGGGCCCTGCAGGGCTAGGCTAGTCCTTCTTTTAAGAAAGAAAAGCCAGGCTGAAAGGAAAAGGAGATTGGAAGGAGTGAGAAGAAAGGGAGTGAGAAAGAGAGAGAAGAGCGAACAAATAAACTCAATGTTAAAATTCCAAGGCAAATGGAGTTAAATAAATTTACGAGGATTGAACCCATTAATTGGGTCATAAAAAGTTTTATGAGCCTCATTTACATACAATGCTACGGGCTCTCCACGCTATGGCGCCTCGACTCTAATTAAAACCAGAAAGGCAGCGCCGCCAGGAGTCACGGGGCCGCCGGCTCGCAGCCGCCTGGCTCCCAGCTCCGCGCTCCCCAGCCCCGCGCTCCCGGCTCCCGGCCCGCCCGCCCCTCCAGCCCGCCTAGCGGCTGCGCCTACCTGAAGACCTCATCCAGGGGTAGATGCGGAAATTGGCCTCGGCCGGACCGTGCAGCGTGCCTTCGTCCGCCTTGTCGCAGGCGCCTTTGGCGAGGTCACTGCAGAGTCCGGGGATGTTTTGGTCGTAGGAGGCACAAGGCAGGTTGCCGTAGGCGTCGGCGCCCAAGCCGTAGCCGGACGCGAAAGGGCTCTGATACAGGGGGCTGTTGACATTGTACAAGCCCGGTACGGTCGAAGCGAAGGCGCCGGCGCCCGCCCCGTAGCCGCTTCTCTGCGAGTTGGGCGCAAAGGAGCAAGAAGTAGGCTCGGCATTTTGGAACAGAGAAGCCCCCGCCGTATATTTGCTAAAAAGAGCGTTCACATAATACGAAGAACTCATAATTTTGACCTGTGATTTGTTGTCCGGCAGCTTTCAGTGTCGGTTTTACGAGGTAGCGTGATATATGATAACATTACACCCCCAGATTTACACCAAACCCCATTTTCTTTTGGACGGAGCTCGCCGCAGCACGTGACCGCCCACATGATCGCCTCCGCCAATCTCAGCAGCCCTCACAGGTGGTCTCGCTCTGCGGGGCCCGCAGCAGCCTAGAATGGAAGGGGAAAAGGCTCAAATATGTGGCCAACAAATCTGCCCGCGCCCGGCCGGCCTGGCGCGTCCTGCGGGAAAAGGACCCCAGCCTCCGTGGGAGCGCTCAGCCCAGTGCCAACCTGGACGCCTGGCCTGCAGAGGCTGCGTGGGGCCGGGAGGGTGCTACCCGTTCTTGCCTATCACCAAACTCTAGACCAAGCCAGCGGGTCCTCTCTGCCCCTCTTCTGCCCACTGACCCAGCCCAGGGAGAGGCTCTGCACCCCGGGCACCCGCGCGCCCTACGGTGGCCTGGTGGACGAGTCGCTGCTCTGGGTGAATGGACTCTTTGCCCATGTCTCCTCCCACCCGGGTCCAGCGGGCGATAGGCCGACTTGGACTCCGATCCAGATGGGGCCGGCGCAGCGTCGCTTCCAGCTGCAGCGAGAATGCCACAGCAAACTGGAAGCATGTGGTTCGAATAAAGTCAAGGTCTCCCAGCTTCCTTTCCTTAATCAGGGGCGCACTGTTTATCCGCCCTAAAGGAAGCAGTGAAGTATTTATCTGTTAATGAGCCTCATTTGCCAACAGATTTACTAATGTGGGATTCCCTTCCCTCCTTTTGGACACTGCTGGCCCCTCATGCTCTGTGCTCTTGGCTCCTGAGCACCTGACTGGCAGCCCGAGAAATGGCTGGACACTCTTTTGTCCTTCCCTGCAACCCTGGATTCTCCCTGGCTGAAAGAGAATGGAGTCTCCTCCAGATTGCAGGAGCCTCAGGCCCTGCACCCTTCCAGGTACCGCTTGCGCCCTGAGGTTTCTGGTAGCCTCCTTGCGGCCACCCCTGGGCCTCCAGCTTCTCCTGGGCCTGAGCGCCTGGAAGCAATACATGCTTTAGAGCCAGTTTGGAGAGGAGAGAGTCGGGGGCCAGGTGCCTGGGGACTGAAGCCTACTCTGGGTCTCCATTTCTTTTGGAGACCCCAAAGACAAATAGAGAGCGCCCTCCCAAAAGTCTTCATCTTTTCAAAGACCAGCTCACAGAGAGTGGAGCTCCCAGTAGGCTCACTCCCTCCCATCCAGACCCCCACCTGGTGGAGCTTACCTTCCCAAGCCTCTAAACGCTGGGCAGGGTTGGAACGGCCAAAGCCCCTGCCTGCTGCTCACCACTCCTTGGAGGGTGGTGGGGTGAAGCCTTCCCCTAAATGCCTCATAAACGGCCCCGGCCGAGTTGGAAGCCTGGCCGACAGGTCAGTACGCCTTTTACTGCTCAGCTCTATTGCACACCATAAACCCGACCTCACAATGGAATTGCCCCGGAAATTCTCCTCTAAATTATAGAGTTTGGTTCTTCATGTACAAAGCGCTTCCCCTCACTTTCAGAGGATCCAGCCCGCCCCCCGTTCGCCGCACCCTCTCAGGGGGTCCTAGGAGCACAAAGGGTAGCAGGAGGGTTCAGACCCGGGTGCAGCGGAGCCCCAGCTCTGGCCTAGTGGACGGCCCAGGGTGTGGATGGGAAGTTGGGGGCTGTAGGGACAGGTGGGGCCAGGGTGGTGTCCCCTGGAGATCCAGAGGTCTTGGGGGGGCAATATCCGGGGTACCCTTTATGGCAGAGCAGAATGATAGCTGTCTTGGTTGGGGATTTGAGGGGTAAGTCAGGAAGGGAAGAAAAAAAAAAAACAAATATCCAAATAGCATCCATTTCTAGAAGAAAATAAAAACCTAAGAAAGTTAAAGGAATACGGAACAAACAAGAAGAAGGCTGGGAGATCAAAGAGGAGGATTTAGACAGCTTTAGACCAATAAATTGTTCCTCCCCTGACACAGAGGAAGATGCAAAGGGAACGACGCGGCCCGCTGACCGCCGTCTGTCTAGACTCCGGTGGCTCAAGCGGCCGACAGCGATGGCGTTTCAAGTAGAACCTGTCCCCTGTCCCGAGTGAGCTGACCCGATAGACAGAGCAGGGAACGATTTCGGGGAGCGCGGGAAGGAATGGAGTCCTGGCGAAGGGCGCTGGAGTCCACGCCACAGGCTTATCTCTGCCGGGTTTTGTCCCATGCAGGTCCAAGCGGTCCTGGCAGGACATGCTGCCCCTCAGCCTGGGCCAAGGACGATCTAGATACTGCCCGCAAGGCCTCTCTGGGCCCAAATCAGCCAAGTGTGTGGAGTCCTGCGGGTGCTGAAACCTCCCTTTCGTTTCTTTCTTCTCTCTCCTCTGCCTTCCGTGGCAGCATTTTAAAACGAAAAGGCTGGACAGAATCAGATTTTCAATAAGGCCTCTTCAACTGCGTGTTCTTGAGCCATTAGTTTCCTAAATATTTGGCTAAGTAGACACAAACGTCGTGGGTTATATGTGATAATATTCACAGAAATACTCGTTGACGATCGGCCTGGAGCAGGCGCTTGTAGGCGGGGTTCTCATCTGCCCCTATGTCTTTAGATAAAGACATCCTCCACCGCTCTCCTGGAGCTGGGTTCCTATGTACCAAGAAGAATGTGTTCCCTTTGCTTCTTGGTACCAAACAGTCCTCAACATTTCAGTCCAGCTAAGAATGTAAACCCCGCTCGGGGACAGCGATTGGAGCCTGCGAGAACCAGGCGACTAGCGATTTGCTTCTCTAAACATTTCTACCCGCACCCCTCATTCGACCTGCGCATCGGTTCTCCATCCAGTGAGCAGTCTGCAGTCGCTGCGCAGGGACATATCCATCCTGACAAGTGCAAAGGAGCTCAGGCTGGCGCGGGGTCTCGTCTGAGCGGCTTACAGAGAAGCCCGTCCTAGGCAGCGGAGCAGGGACAACCGCTTCCCAGCCGGCGGCAGGCCAAGGGCAAGAGAGGCCCCGCCTGGCCATTCCTGAGGCCTCTGAGATCCGTGCCAGCCAGTACCTCCCTGGGGCCTCCGTGACCTGGGGAGAGGAGTGGTGGCCACCGAGCTCCTCTGCCATTTATTTGTAGTTACATAAACCGAGCTTTCTATCTGATGCTTGGATGCACAGCCACGGAGAGCATTTGGGAAGTTATAAAACCCTCCTTACAATCAGATTCGTGAAATGTTGTGCATTATGTAAGGAAATACAATAAAGGTGTGTGTCTGTAATACCAACATGTGTATATAAACAGAGAAAAAGGAAAGAGAGGAGGAGAGAGAGAGAAAGCGAGAAACACCTGGGAGAGATGTCAGCCAAAATCCAGTCCCCAGTTTTATAGCATGTACAGGCAGAGATGCAGGTTGTAAACATTTTGTGGGCTTGGCAGAGACTATTACAACCCAAATAAATGCACCGCGTGCAGTGTTCACAGGGCTCTGGGGTGCTTCGAAGGGTCCTCTGTTTGCTTTTGCATTCTCCCTGGGAAACCATTCTGCACCCGGGGCTGACCCTCGCACCGCAGCTCTGCGGGCACCGCGGCTCTGCGGGAGCCTCCTGGAAGTCTCCAGGCACATTCGACACTCAGGGCTGGGCTCAGGCTGGGCCTTGATGAGGGTCCCGTCCGTCCTCCTGGCCTCCTGAGCAGAGGACGCCAGAGTCGCCTCAGCATCTCCCCTGAGGAGGAAATTCAGCGGCAAGAGAAAGCAGAGATGGCTTTCACGACGTGAGCACCTATTCTGGAGCTAGGATGTTGTTTTAAACATCACATGTATTTTAGAATAACCAAAGCAGCTCCCGGCCTGTCGCCAAGGACTCCCATTCCTAGGCAACTCAACTGCCAGACCTACATTAGACAGTCACCAAAAATGCCTTTATGCCCAATTTTCAGTCGCCTGATTTTATTGTCCTGTATTCAAGACGGCGGAGACCTCGGGTTCTGGCTCACCCGCCGGCGCTGGCTTCTCGGGCCCTGACCCGGGGCGCAGCCTTTGGGGGTCTCCCGACCCCAGGACCGTTGGCCTCAGATCAGCCCTCTGCACACCCTCTGTGAGGGGGGCGCGGGAGGCACCAGGTCCAGGCCCAGGTCTTGGTGTCGGCCGCTCAGCCGGTTTCCCCGTGAGTCTCCCTGCCCCACGGCTGGCCGGGGCTGGGGACAGTGACCCTACAGCCGTGGCCCCGCCTGCAACTGCAGTTTCGCAGCGCTACGCGCAGCGGGAACGGACGGGAACGGACGGTGCAGATCAAGCGAAGCCCCGCCGCTTGCTTCCTAGTCAGCCCTCCATCCTGGCGCGAGCGGCACGGAAAATAGACCACCGCTCTGGGTCTCCCATTCCAGAAAGGCTCGCGTCAAGTCGACATCTTAGGAACTTCCCAGTGTCGCGGCAGCCGGAGATGGCGGCGCGAGGGCCTCTTGCGTGGAGCCACACTGCCACCTGCTGGCTGAATGGAGGTACTGCAGCCCCAGCTGCCGGGCCTGAACTTCGTCCGCAGCCGCCGCCACGGGCGCGGCGCCGCGCTCCGAGGCCGCCGAGGGCCAGGTCCCCGGGGGGTCTGCGTGGCACCCGGAATCTGCGCGGCTGGGAGGGCAGTACCCATAAAAGAGAGCTGTTTCCGCAGCGCTTTATCGGCTGCAGACAGAACAGACAAATGAAAGGGCTTTGGTGGAAAATCTTAATTGGGGCTGGACAGTTGTAAACTCATTAAGGGCCGAATTCCAGACAGTTCGCAGACCCGGCCTTTATGGCACGGCCTTAGTGCCCATTCTTTGAAGTTCCTTCTGTCTGCAACAACAGAGGGCGTCCCAACCTGGCGGCAGGTTGGGGGTGGGGGACGTGAGGAGGCGCCCCGTTCCTGGCGCCCTGGTTCCCCTTTTACGCGTTCCAATATAGATATCTTTGCAGAAGTCGCGAGGGATGGGGGGAAGGAGCGGAAAAGAAAAGGGGGAGATGAGGCCGAACCCTCCCGCCACAACTAGAAGGCGCTCGGGCCTCCGAGGTTGTGGCCTCCCCCCTCCGCGCCCCCGCAGCCCTTTACACCCCATAAACGGTAACAGCCCTCATTTTCTTTTATGGCGCTTGGGCTCGTCGGTTGCCTGGGCCCTGCCTCTGCCAGGACTTGCGCTCGGGGAGGGGCGCGCGGAGCAAGGCCCAGAATCCCCCGGGGCCAGCCTGGCAGGCCGTGGGGGTGCGGGGGCGCAGGGCTTCGGTCCCCTGAGAGTTCCCAAAAGTCTGTCCCCACAGCCACGTTGGGGCGATCTGGCTCCCGTTTCCCTCCTCGGAGTCTCTGTAGGAGGCAGGCCCTCAGCTCAAGGTCTCGCTGTCTCCCACGTCCCCACCCCCACCCCTCACTGCCAGGGAAGGCCCAGCAGTCCCCGTGGACACGGGTTTGGGCAATTTCTTGGGGCGCCAAGATGAAAGAGTGGCCTTTCATTGCTACAGGCCAGCGATAGCCAGGACGCCAGCCCAGCTCTCCTGAGGTCTCCAGGGCCGTCTGGCAAATGGACACAAAGAGACGAGCCGGCCTCGCTGCCCTTGTCCCCCAGCCTCCCTCCGCTGCTGGTGCCCCCAGAGCCGGCCTGGTGCCGAGCTCCCCGAAGCCCGTGGAGCGAATTCGAGGTTCTGTCCTCTTCCCTCCCAGCCCGGCTCCACCCAGGGACTATCAAGGCTCCCCTGCCCCAGGAGAAGAAGGTGCAAAGAGCTGCCCCGCAAAAAATAAAAAAAAATAAAATAAAATAGAAAAGGATCAATATATTTTATTTGGCAGAAAGTTAAATATCTCAGCAAAACAATTTGGTCAGTAGGCCTTGAGGTAAACTATTGCAAAATATACAGTGTATGTATGTTCAGCCCAATGAAACCCCAGATTCACCAAGAATACAAATCTACAGTAGCCCAATGGTGGTTTCATAGTGTATAATTTATTATCAATAAAATTAACTCCATTACAATACCATTTTCCCCCAGTTAAAATTAAACGTAAACCATAGGTAGTAGCCTTCTGCACATAATCGTATAGCTCCGAATTTCCTCCCTGTTTGCCTGGTGCAAAAACAATGCTCAAGCTGGTCTGATTGCTTTTTTAAAAATATGTGGATTATATGTACAATATACAAGACAGGTCTATAGAGTATGTAGAGGAAAAAAAATGCCCAAATTTCCAAAGTGGAGAAAACCATGAATCTATGTATCCCGGAGAACTCATTCTTTCTTTTTAAAAATTTTTTTTTATTTCACTGGGAAATCCATACAGCTAATTTACAATCAAAAGTTAACAGCCTAGTTATACAGAAGACATATTCCACTACAGAGCTATACTCTATGCAACGGTCCCCCCCCATAAACAACCTGAGTTCAAATTGAATTCTAGCTTTCACAATCACAATGGGTGCGTCACCCAGCACAGAAGTTTGAGTCACAAAACGTAATTACCACAATAAAACAGTGTTCAAGTAAGTATCTGGGCAGATCGCTCTGCCGCACAAAGAGAAAATTAAATTAACTACACAGACTAAAAACTATACAGCCCACAGTCAACAGTTGTGCATTATAAAAAAAGGTAGTTTTTGTTTGTTTTAAGTCAGGAACAGGTAGATTTTATAAAATATATACAAGATAGCATACGCTGCCATCAACGCTAATGCCCCCTTCTTCTTCTTCTGTTTTGTCGTAAGAGAAAATGGAAAGCTTACAATACCTCCTCCATGAAAGCGGCAGGCCAAGGAGCCAGCCTGAGAAGGGGTTGCCAGGGGGAGCCGAGGCCTGGAGTTGAGCGTCGCTTTGTGCAGAGAGCTGGAGGCTTGAGTGGCGTGGGGGTGGGAGAAGGGTAAGGGCAGTCCTTTCTCTTTCTCTCTAGCTCCGTCTGTTTTCTAAATGAACTCAAGTAGCATCACTCGTCCTTGGCTCGGTCCTTATTGATTTTCTTCATTTTCATCCTGCGGTTCTGGAACCAGATCTTAACCTGCCTTTCCGTGAGGTTGAGCAGCCGGGCCACCTCGTACCTGCGGTCCCTGGTGAGGTACATGTTGAACAGAAACTCTTTCTCCAGTTCCAGCGTTTGATGTTTGGTATAGGGGCAGCGCTTCTTCCGAGTGGAGCGCGCATGGAGCCAGTTGGCAGCCGGGTTGCCTGGTGGGGGGGGGGAGAAAAAGGGGATTTAGAAGGAGAAGCACCCCCATCTCCGCTGGGAGCTGGGGAACCTCCTGGGGTCTTCGGCCAAAGTGCGGGTAGCTGCTGAATTGGTTAGGGAAGGCGGCAGAGCCTCGGACACAATGGGCCCCTGGCAGACAGACGCAGGGACGGTCACTTACAATTGCACGCAGTAAAACCTCGGCTCCCCCTCCCCTCCCGGGCCCTCCTTTCTCCTCCTCTGTCCTCCGCGGTCCTTTTCTCTCCCCTCCCACTCTCTCCACATTGTGTGATGAGTGAAATTTGAAAACAGATCTCCTTCTTGTCAGGCAGGGGGAAACCACGCTGCTCTTGTGGAGTAACAAGATTAATATTCTTTTCTCCCTCTCAATAACTGTCTCTGTGTCTTCCCTTCCCCACCTTTCCTTCTGCTCTCCTCACTCCCTGGCCTCCCTGGAAGGCTGTGGGAGCGGGGGCAGGCCCTTGCTAACTTCGCCAATTTATTAGAATTATCTGGCGTGAGGACCCGCGTGGCCTGGTCCCTCGCAGCCTCGTCTGGGGCAGGATTTACACCGCCACTAGCTGAAGGCAAGAAGTGGAGGGAATCGGCCGTCTTCCCCAGCGCGCCGGCTGCAGTTGCTGCTGCCGCTCTCGGACAATCTAGTCTCACAAAAGACTCTCTCTGAGACGCTGCTTTCGAAGAACGGCCCAAAGTATCCCTGTCCAGGTCCCCGGCAGCCAGGGAGAGGGGGTGGCTGGTCTTGGCTCAGCCTGCAGTGCCCGCCCCGCCCCCTCTCTCCGTAGCTGCCGCCTCCCCTCCCCATGAGCCCAGCGGGCCGCTCGTCACAGCTCTGTGGACTTGGGACCCCATCCGAGGGGTCCCAAACAGCAACTTCTGGCTCCCCGCCTCTTCTCAGGAGGCTCCCAGTGAAGGCGAAGGCCGCCTCAAGAAAAAGCTGGAGCGCCGGCAGATCCAGGTGGCCGGCGTGGAGGTGGCGGCCGGTTTGGAGAGAGGAGACACTTACTGGGATCGATGGGGGGCTTGTCTCCGCTGCTCTCATTCTCAGCATTGTTTTCGGAGAAGGCGCCTTCGCTGGGCTGTTTTTCTCTATCAACTGGAGGAGAACCACAAGCATAGTCAGTCAGGGACAAAGTGTGAGTGTCAAGCGTGGGACAGTCACCCCTTCTGGCCGACAGCGGTTCAGGTTTAATGCCGTAAGGCCGGCTGGAGGGCAAGCCCGTGAAGGAGAGCGCGCCCGGCGTGGGCTCCAGCCAGGAGCGCATGTACCTGCCGTCCGGAGCTGCCGCCGCCACGGGCGCCTGGGGGTGCACATAGGGATGGTGGTGATGGTGGTGATACACCGCTGCGGGCACCGCGTTGGCGCCGGCCGCGTGCACCGGGTTCCACGAGGCGCCGAACACCGCGGCCTTGGACTGAAAGCTGCATGGGCTGAAGTCGGGGTGCTCGGCCAGTGCTGCCGCCTGCCTGGGGGGCTGACCCAGGGTCCCCGGAGCATAGCGGCCCGCGCCCAGCTCATCCGCGGCATCGGCGCCCAGCAGGAACGAGTCCACATAGTAGTTGCCCAGGGCCCCGGTGGTGGCCATCGTTGCACTCTGCGCCCGGCCGGCAGGCCCGACCCGCGGAAATTATGAAACTGCAGATTTCATGTAACAACTTGGTGGCACCAGGGAGGGAAGTACAGTCACCTAATAAGTTGCCGGCGCCCGCGCCCCTATTGGCCGCGCGCATCACGTGTCCACCCAGCAGAACAATAACGCGTAAATCACTCCGCACGCTATTAATGGCCCGGTGTTTTGCAGTCATAATTTTTATAGCAAAAGCCATATGTTTTTATGCAAAGGGATCGCGGCGCTCAACGATCGGGTTTGTTTTAATTGTGGCCAACGAAGATTAAAAGATCAAATCTGGCCTTGCCTCTGGACTCCCTCCCCTCCCACCGCCACCACCAGACACACACTTCTTAAGCGGACTATTTTATATCACAATTAATCACGCCATCAGCGAGGCGCGGGTCCCGCGTGCGAGTGCGGCCAGCGGAGCCCCTCACATAAAATTAGACAATAATTGAAGCCATAAAAAAGCAGCCAAGTCGCATTCTCGCTCTACTGTATTTAAATCTATATTTATATTTCATAAGGAGTTATTGTTTCAGAAGCCACACAGGCTGGTGGGAAGTTGGGAACGACCAACAGATTCGTTTACCTCGCCGTGGCTCCCAGCTGTAAAAATTTACGAGGACTTGGAAAGGTTAAATTAGACTGTTGTGTTTGGTTGGCGGGCTCCCTGTAAATAATCCCCGCAGTCCCCAGAGATGCGAGTTTACCCCGGGCTGGCCACGAAAAGTCAAATTCAACGCAGTAGCCGTCCCAAACTGAGCCACCACAGCCCCTGTTTGAGCGCGCCGAGCAAGGACAGGCCTCCGAGAGGACACAGGCTACTGAGGGCCCCTGGACTCTGCCCTACTGGATCGGATCGCAGGGCACTGGGACAGGTCCCGCAGTCACCGTTGTGCCTCCAGCGAGCCCCCCACCGAAGAGCGGCCAGCCATCCCTGAGCGAAGGGTTTAGGGGCCCAGCTGTGCCGCGCGTTCCGCTCCGACCTCGCACACGGGCGTCCAGCGCGCCCTGCTCAGCGGGAATCACAATCCCCGCCAGTGGACACAGCAGGCGCCCCAGCCCTGTGCTCCGACCTCTGAGACCCTAATTCTGAGCTCTGCCAGCCTTGTGGCACTCCTGGAACCAAGCTGCCAAAAAAAAAAAAAAAAAAAAAACCACCAAAAAAAACCCACCCAACTCCTCCACCCGTCACCCCCCCCCAAAAAAAACCACGGGGTAACATCAATTAAAGGAGAATTCGACCTAAGAGAGCCATCAGCTTAGTAGCTGGGAGGCCCGTCCCAGTGGCTGGCCTCCAGGCCCAGTACGAATCCTTCAGGTCCCCTTCCTTCCTGGCCACTGCCTCTGGAGGGTCCGCTTTGGTTACCCACGCGGCCGGGCCGTTTGGCTGTTACAAGGCCCAACATGAGGCGGCCACAGCTCAAGTCCAGGGCCAGAAATTAAAACTGGGAGGGGCAGGGGCATTGACTTTAATCTCATCCCTCAGCTTGGCCAAATTGAGGAGGGTGTTTCTCACCCCTCAGAGTCTTTCAGGGATAAATTAAAAGGTCTAGGCCTCTCCATTAATTGGAAGGGGGAAAAAAATCCACCCCAAATACAAACGGAAAGCAGCGACTCCTAAAAACGGGGTAATTAAATTCACGTGTGAACACTGTGCCTGCAAGAGTGTGTTTCTCATTAGCCCACTTCCCTGGCGGCGAAGGCGGGCGGCCTCGGGCGCTTCCATCTTCTTTTCTGCCTTCATGCTCCTAACAATCCCAGTAACCCCAGAAACCCTAACACACTCCTGTCCCGCATGGTGACCCTCAAATGCCAGGCTCTCCCAGGGAGGCTAAGAAGCCGAGCAGAGACGCACCGGGTGCCCCTCTCTCTGCCGGCGCCGGAAGAGGGAAGTGGCCGACACAATGAACTCCGACGTGGCCCGTCCTGGCCACCTCAGTCCCCTCCCCCGCTAATATTTTTCCTTTCCCTGTACATTCCTTCGCGTTATCCTCACCTCCACCCCCCAGCTCAAGGTGTCCCAAATATCAGGCAGTTCGTGGGGGCTCTGAGGTTTTCACTAAGAAAAGTTAATATGGGAGGAAGCCTTCGCTCCTAATTGTAATTGTCTGTAAACGGCTGGACACGCCTGGCTGCCTTTTCCTTTTCCCTTTTTGTTTTTCTTTTCAGTAACCAGATAAGACACGAATTATTTATAGTATTTTTTAAAACTAAAAAGGCCCTCCTTTAAATAGCCTTAGCCCCCCCCCCCCAAATAGGAGAGCAACTACTAAGTATTTAGCAGGGTTTGAATGTTAAGTAGTCCCCACTGGGATCAAGAAGTGTGTGTGTGTGTGTGTGTGTGTGTGTATGTGTGTGGGGGGGCGGTCACAAAACTAAAATCATCCCTGCACAGCCCAGAGGTTTGGGAAGAGATCACTCAGACTTTGTGTCTGCTTTTATTCTGAAGTAAAAGGCATTGCCTGTGCATAAAGAAATAATAAATGGGTGTGATTACAAACTGCTTCTTTTTGCCTCAGAACTCCGTGTAACTCCGTGTGAGCCTTTCCAATAGCAGAACCAGGAACTGAGCGGTGAAAACAGTTCCTGGGCCCAAAACCGTGCTGCGAAGGGCAATGCAGCGAGGCGGGAACAGCCCGAAAGCCCCGCGTGCGGGTGGGTTTGTTGGGTCTAGGCAGGTAGTTTTCAGTTCTCAGCAATGACGAGAACGGCCCGACCGGCTTCCAGCTGTGGACTACAACCAGGGACAAGGACTCACTCACGCCTGTATCCCAACGGTTCTGGAATTTAGAATTACTTTTTTCCCACTATTTGAAACTCTGAAGCTGGCAGGGGAGTCCCCTTCGCCAGCAGTCGTCTGCACAAGGTGCCCTGTCTAACATGCTCGGAACCTGATAGAAGCTACTGACAACCAAGCAGCCAATCTTTGCCCTAGCGGGCTACCTTATCGCGGTTAAAGCCCAAGCGGAGACCGGCAGGGCCTGCGGAGCCAAGGAAGCTTCCCCGGAGTGCCCTCCGTGGCCGTAGCCCGGCTCCACCAAGCCTGGCTCGGCCTCAGCCCAGGTCCCAGCCTCAGGCCCCCAATGAGGCTGGCGAAGGCTTCCTTGCCCTCGCTATGGGCGCACAAAAACGCCGCGAATGCCCCAATCTGATCTCCTAGGCTGCCGTTGCTGACCGGAACGCAAGGCCGCCGCCATCCGGTCGTGATCGTAACCGAGGCCTTGTCTGCGCGGCTGCACACCCGGCCCAGATCCACAGCCTTCGACAGACGCCCCACGCGAGTCCTTCCTCGGCAGACTAGGACCTCGACTTGAGCCCGCAGAGAAAAATAAGACACCTCCCACCCCACACTCCCTAGGCCAGCCCTGGATCCTTGCGGAAGGAAGAGCTGGGGAGGAGAGGAGGCAGAGATAGAAAAGACACAAAAAAGGGCACAGAGAGCCCAAAGGTAAAAAGAAAAATACAGAAAAGGGAAGGAAAAAAAGAAAGAAGAAGTAAATAAAAGGAGGTAGAGAGAAAAAAAAAGGGGAAGGAAAGACGTAAAGAAGGAAGGAAAGAGCCAAAGGCAACTCCTGAGAGCAGGAAACAGCTTACAAGAGAGAAGGGTAAGTGACAAGGCCAGGATTGCAGCCCGTCTGCCCTGTCTGTTCTAATTTGGCCTGAGTCTCCACTGGCAAAGGGATCTCTCCCTATGTCCTACCCTGAACTGGGGCTGATGCTGTCCTAGCTTTGCAGGAGGATGGCGGGGGCCCTGGAGAGGCCAGGCTAGGAGCAGGGGAGGCCCAGGATGGAAGTGTGCGCCCCTGACCTTGAATGGCCCGCGGCCCAGAATTCCTACCACGCCCCCCGGCGTCCGCTACGGCGCAGCTAACCTGACTGTACCTGCCTGGGGCCAGGTAGAGAAGGAGGTGAGGCCAGCAGCCTGGTAGAGCGCTGAGAAGGAGATAGGGACGAGGCTCTTTCGCGGGAAAGGCCGAGGTTGCCACCACAGGTCTGGCACGACCAGAGCCTGGATGCCCCCGCCCGGCCCGGTCCCCGCGCACACAGGTACCTGGAGACGATTTCAACTGAAGTAATGAAGGCAGTATCGTGCTGTCGAGAGAAAGGTGGATCCCAACAACAGGAAACTACCTAAATCACCGACCAGTTCTGGTGCTGCCCGCGCGGGGCTGCCTTGCCCGCCGCCGCCGCCGCCGCCGCCGCCGCCGCCAGTGCCGCCGCCGCCGCCGCCGAAGGAGAGCCCGGCGACTGTACCCGGCCAGGCCCCTTGCCAATCTGCGCCCGCCGATGCCACTGAGCGACCCGCCTTCCGCTAGGGCATTACGGACGGAGAAGCCACTGGCCCCTGTAAGGTAAACCTGGGAGAGGGAGGGAAGGAAGGTAAAGGAGAGAGGAAAAAAGAAGGGGAGAAAGCGAGACAAGAGAACAAGTAGTGTTCGTGCTGGTTTCCCAAATCTTGCAGCTGAGCGAGAGGACGCCGAGCCGCAGCAGCCCCGGGCGCCTCCAAAGCGCCAGGAACAGCCCTGAGCCCGGCTCCCAGTCTGGTCTCGGCCTCCCGCGCTCGCTCCCCGCCGCTCGCTCTCCCCCTCTCTCCCTCCCCGCCAGGCAGCCAGCCGGGGCGCGCGCTCCCGCGCCCCCTCCCCCCTACTGTCGCCCCCCCCCCCACCTCCCGCGAGCAGGAAACGCGTGGCCCCGCGGAGGGCGACCAGGTGGGGGAGGCTGTGCTGGGGGAGGGGGGGTCCAGGCAGCGCGGTCGCTATCTACCTAACCGCTGCCGCGGGCGCTAGTGAGGCGCTGTGGGCCCCAACCTGCTCCCCGGATTCCTAGATTGGGGGTCATCTAGGACCAGGGGACCCACAAAATAACCAGTCTCCCTGGGGCTCCCGAAAGAAATCCTGTTTGACTTCCTCTATGAAGCTCCTCTCTCAACTGAAACCACCGGTCCAAGACAGCCACAATCCAGATATACTAGCAAGTCATAAAACTGAACAAAAGCCGACAAACCTTACGGCACCAGGGCTATAGGGCCCAGACAAATTACGACTGTCTAGGTAATATTTAAATAGATGCCTCAAGTAATTGCAGGGGGCGCGGGCTAGTCCTCCTGTTGTAAAAGTGGTGGACGGGATAAAGTAGAAGGTGAAGATAAGAAGTCAAAAAAAAAAGAGGTAAAATTAAAAAGCTTCATTCCACAGCTTTTATTCTTCTATAAGAACATAAACATCGTCTTTTTTTCCACGCACAGCAGCATTACAATATTAATTTATTCTGATTTAAGATTAGAATAGAGCTAGAACTAACATTTATAATAATGATAGAATGCATTTGCATAAAACAAGATTGGCAACTTTTTCATAATAATAGACATTTATACAGATTTGCATTTATAGTTTTTTTCTTTTTCTGCACCTACAGGTTTGACCCTTTTATGCATGTAACTTCACAGTATAAAGGAAACCAAACAATGTCTCCCTTCTCTAATCTATTCCGCTTGCCCCAGCCCTCCTCGACTTCCATGAATTTTGGAAAGAGAAAAAGAAAAGAAAAAAGTGGGGAAAAAAAAACCTCCTCAAGATAGGGAGAATTGTGGTGTGCTTGTTGTGTGTTACCAGTGGCAACAATTATTTTATGACAAAAATCCACTAAATCCACATGTATAAACTAAACTACATCAGATTATTTATCTACAGCCAGAGGATATGGAAATTCAGAGAGAAGGGAAATAATTTATTCCCACCTTACACACAATGCAAGACCTTACACAAACTGGAAGAGGGGTTTGCTTGTCATGGTCATTTTTTTTTTTTTCTTTTAAAGCTGGGATATCTTACAGAGGAAGAAAAAAATTCATCTTTCTGACCCTCTCGATTTTCCAATCAGCCAAAGTCAAGCCCTTTTGCCAACCTGTATGCCCGTAAGCCCTTCTCTTTGCCAAGGAAGAAAGAAAAAAAGGAAAAAAAGAAACCTAGGGGCCTGTATCCCCTGATTAAACACAGCCCAACACTCCAGGCCGGCCGGCCCTGCACCATTGTGGCGGCTCCTTGCACCATTGACCTCAGGCCAGACACCTCAGAGCCTACAAGGGGACCTGGGCCTTCCGGCGAGGTTTGCCGGGGACCCCCCAACCCCCCCGCAGGAAACCAGCTCCACCAGGAGGACAGGGGCCATTTTGAGCAGTGGAATACCGAGACAGCACACCATCCCAGTTCACCCCTTGACACTTCGGACAATATTTATCTATATAGAATATTAGAGCGATATGGCTTTTTCCCCCAGAAAACAAGTAAACCAGCACCTAGCACACAGACAAAGGAACAAAAAGCCAGAACAAACCAGCCCTGCACAGATGTGGCCAGCGAGATGGCGAGTGTGGGAGGGAGGAATGGGGCTCCCGCACAGGTGCGAGTTCCTGGGCAGAGGCCGGAGACAGAGGGAGGAGAACGGCTCTCTGGAAGCGGAAAAACAAAACAAAACAAAAACAAAAACAGAAAACGGCGTTGCCTGGAGCTTCATCAGGAAAAATTAAAGTTGGCTGTGAGCTCCCGGATCCGGTTTTCTCGGTTCATTTTCTTCAGTTTCATCCTGCGGTTCTGAAACCAGATTTTAACTTGTCTGTCCGTGAGGTGGACGCTGCGGCTGATCTCTAGGCGCCGCTCTCGAGTAAGGTACATGTTGAACAGAAACTCCTTCTCCAGCTCCAGCGTCTGGTGCTTCGTGTAGGGGCAACGCTTCTTCCGGCCGCTCTTTGCAGTGAGCCAGTTGGCTGCGTTTTCGCCTTTGGTATTGCCTAGCATTTAAGGGAATAAAGAGGGGAGGGTTAAATCCAGGCTATGAGGGCCGACTACAGAGGTGAATTTGGGCCGCCTCCGCCCCAAGAGGGACGCCCTAAGTCATACACAGAGAGTTATGCCCCCCTTTATCTTGCTTGCCCAGGAAGACCAGTTCCTCCAAAAGGCTTGTGCAAAATCCAGTGGACTTTCAATCTACACCTAGCCTCCCGATTTACATTTTCCTCTGCTTTTCCCCCAAACACCTGTTTTAGCACAAAGCTGCCAGGTGCTTGCAGAATGAAAGGCCCAGGAAGGCTGGTCTCTATACCTTGAACTTAACGCCTTACGTTTTCTTTGCTTCTCGCCCCAAGGCAGACAAGCATTTCCTGCAGCACCCCCAGGCTGGGGGCCGCGGGGTTTCCTTGGCAGGGGAGTGCGCAGCATGGCTGTGACTCACTCCAGCCCCCTCATCGCCCAAGGCCGGGTGAGGAAAGGGAGAAGGACACAGGTGGGACATGGGGAAGGCACAAAAAACTGATTCGGGGTCAAGGGCCTGCCGTTGTCACGTCTCTTCAGGAGCCAGAGACGTGCAGTCCGAGCGCTTCTGTGTTCCCTAGGAAGCCAAAAGGTCCCTCTCGGATCTCAGCTCAGGGCCCCGGCGTCCGGGCCGGATGTGCCTTTTCTTCTACCCGCAACGAGGATTCCCGCCCCTCCAGCAACTTTGAAAAAAAGCATGGGGGATCGTAAACTCGAACTTCGCCGGTTAATGGGCTTATTTATTGGTGCTGGCGGCTGCTTATTTTGGATGCTTTACAAACATCCGCGCTATCTGCGGGCGAGCCACTTTCCCTCCCTCCCCCTCCCCCCGCGTGGGCCGCGCCTCGCGGACTGGGCCCAGTCCACGGCTGAGGGTGCTCCGGCCCACGGAGAAGAACATGCACAAGAGGGGGCTGCTCGCCGGTGTCCTCGCCCCCAGTCGGGGTGAGCTGAGGCCAGCGCGGAGGACGTCTTGGTGTGGGGCGCTAAACTGGACATGAATTTTTACTACGTCCCCACGCCCAAATATTAAAAAGCAAGTTCACAAGGTCAGCCTGCCTGCGGCTCGGGCCAAGGCCGGCCGGCTGCTGCGCGGACTCCTGGTTCTCTGCTCTCTCCCTTCTCTGGGTCGGCCTGCCTGTCTGCCCGCCTGACTGCGGCCCTTGAGCGCACTCTGCTTACCCCGGGAGTCCTTCTCCGGCGAGGCTTTGCTGCTCTCGGAAGGGGCCGGGGAGAGCTCCTCGGCGGCCGAGGACGACGCGTGCGCCTCCTCGTCGCCCTGCGAGCCCCCGCCGCCACCACCGCAAGTCAGCGTGGGGGGCGGCGGCGAATCGAGGGCTCGCTCCTTCCGGGCTGCATCCGCCGAGCCGGAGGCGAGCACGGGTGGCGGGTCGAAGCCGCGCCCAGGGGGCTGGGAGGGGAACGGACCGGCGCCGAGATGCTGCGCCCCGCCGCCGCCGCTGCTGCCGTAGCCCTTGGCCGTGCCATAGGCCTGAGAGAGGCGGAAGTAGCCGGGCACTGGCACCCCGCTGGAGGTGCCCAGGGCGCAACCGTCGGGTGGCGGGCCCCTCGGGAAAGGGGTGAGCTCGGCAGCGGCGGCCGAGCCTTTGGGGCATTTGTCCGCTGAGTCGTAGAGGCAGTAGGAGCTCTCCTCTTTGATGTTCTGCGCGAAAGAGCACGAAGTGGCCTGCGGAGGGGGTTGGGGTGGTTGCGGCGGGGGCGGTGGCGGCTGTTGCTGGGGTTGCTGCGGTGGCGGCGGCCCCTCGGGTGGCTCCATCCGGCAAGACCGGGGCGCATCCAGCCATAGGTCTATAGGCGCGGGTGCGTAGCTGTGCGCCCCGGGACCCAGGGCCCCGCTGCCGCCGCCGCCGCCGCTGCCGCCTGGCGACGCCGCCTCATTGCGCTTGCCTCCCAGAGCCGGGAAGAGCCCGCAGCTCTGCAGCCCGTAGGGCAGGTCGGCGGCCGGCGGCAGGTAGACCCCGCCGTGGGCGAAGTAGCCGCCGCCGCCGCCCCCCGCGCCGCCGCCACCGCCGCCAGCCTCGACTCTGCCGGAGCTGATGAGCGAGTCGACCAAAAAAGAGTTCGCGGCGGGGCTCTCCGAGCATGACATTGTTGTGGGATAATTTGGCGAAGGGAGCAGATAGCCCTTTCTGGCTGACATTTCTTGTGCAAAACATGCTGAATACGATTAGCAATCCCCCCGCATCGCGGCGGGCGCCTGCAGCCAATCCTGAGCCAGAGTTTCTGCGCGACCACTCCCAGTTTGATTTCGTAGGCGTGGGGCAGCTCTCAGAGGGCGCCCTCCGAGCCCGCGATTGATATAAATAAGTAATCTGTATTGATGGCCCTCGAGACGCACACCCGATACTCAGCCCAAAGGCCAGGAACTGTGGGGGCTGCCCCAACGTGGCTGGAGAGCGGGGACCTAGCCCTTGGGCTCGCCTAGTCCATGCCCGGACGTGAATCCTCTTTCGGGGTCTGTTTGAAGGGCCCCTGGGCCCCGTGCTATTAACAAGTGGGGTGTTTATGGTGTGCACCCTGGCCCGCCTTGGGTGCTCCCTTCCTTATTTTGGAATCAGCCACTAGCCCTCCATAGACTCTAAACGCTAAGGGGCCCTCTCAGGGCCTCAAGCTCCCAAAAGTGGCAGACCTGGTCCTCAAGCCACCAGGACCCTCAGAAATCCGGAGTGAACTGGAAGCTGACAATTGCCACTCTTTTTCGCATCCCACACAACCCCCGCCCCCCCATGCTATGCCCTGGCCTGTCAGCCCCCTGTCCTCTCCTCTGCCAGCCTGTTGATCTAGGTAGGATCTTTGCCTCGGGTGTGCTCACCAGGCTTGCCTGTCGGTGGGCTTTGATGGGCTGGCATGAAGGGGCGTTATGGAAGCAACTGGCAATTTGAAAGGCTCCCCCATCCCTACTCTGAGGCCAGAGCCCGGTCCAAGCACCCACAGCTCATCACCCTGACAGGCTGCGAGCTCCAAGCCCTTTCAGCAAAGTGAAAGAAACATTGGTCTTCGAGGTCGTCGGCTTGCCCTGAGGTGAAGACCTGAAGGGGGAATCTTGGAGGAGGGGTGGCCAACAAACACCTCTGACACATTATTCTCGAGTTCTCCCTTTAGCCTTGGCATTTGCAGGCTCCTGGAGGCCGCGACAAGAACCAGTGTCACCACACTCCTGCCTCTCCATCCCCACCCCTCTTCCCTCCTCCCTCTAAACCCGGCGCTGGGGCAGCCCTCACTCCCGCGGTTTGCGCATTTTAACGAGGCCCGTGGTGAGGAAATCCGTTCCCTGCGAGGCCCGGCTGGGCTCCTGGCCCAGTTATAGGAAACCTTCGGAGGCCAGGGCCTCCTTCGTCCATGGCCATAGAGATGTGTTCTAAGTCAACTAGAAATGGCCGGCCTAAGGCGCTAGCCCCCAAGTGTGGGCCTCAGAGCGTCTCAGGAAATTCGACCTTTTCCGGCCGGATTCAGTGGAGTCCAGGAGGTCGCGGCCTTGCCCCTGGCCTGCGGGCTACAGCTCTGCAGGATGCCCCAGGCCTGCCCGACCCACCAGCTCTAGCCCCTGGAGAGGCTTTGACTGGGGCTGCTGCAGCCCGGATCCTAGGCAGCGAACCGCTCAGGCCTCTGCGCGGCGGGGAAAGACCCTTGCATCCCAAGAGAGCAGCCAGAATTCGGCCTTGTTCCTCCCAGTATGAACTGAACCCAGTCCGAGGAGGGAGCAAAACCTGAGAGGACTCAGGGAGAGAGCACGGAGAGCAGGCGACAGAACCGGGGCGCTGGCTTCTGAGATGCAAGCAGTTTGCGGTCTCTGCCGGCCACAGCTGCTTAAAGCGCAGAGCCCGGGAGGCCGAGCCAACGCTGGCGCTGCACCTCCGCCACTTCCACCTCTGCTACCAGCGCGAGGTTACTGACTCTGCGGCCGACCGGGCATCTGGGGTGGAGAGAAGGGGAATAAGAAAAGAAAGGGGGAGGAGGAGAGAAGAACAGAAGGGGAGGAACGAGAGATGGTGAGAGAAGAGGAGAGCACGAGAGAAAGCCAGTTCTCTCCAATCTGACAAGGTCGTGAGGCTGAAGCATGGAGGCAGCTGAATCAAGTCAGGAGCCTGTGCACAGGATTAGAAACTGCTCTTCACTCTGCACGTCGCTCTTATGCACCAGGCCAAGACAAATTCTAACCTGGCCCGAACATGAGCACGGAAAAGTTTTAGAGCACTGCAGCCTGGGACCCCTCCCTGGATGGGCCCGGTCCTTGCCTGGCTTGCCTTGCCAGGAGGGTGGAACTACCCAGGACTATGCTCAGCAGTGCTCCTGAGAAATGCCACAGAGCTGAGGACGACCTGAGAAGGGGGCTCTGCCCCTCAGCATGCTTCATGCCACTCAGAAAAGCTCTGCCAAGTGGGAAGTAGGTCACAAGAACAAGAGAAGTTTTCTTGAGGAGGTCATGAGCCCCAGCAGGCCAGTGACACAAGCCTTGGTGTCTCTCCAGACTAAATGCAGAAAGCAACTACCCAGGCTACAGGTTGGGAAGGGCCTGTGACCAGAGGACAGAACACTTGAGACGGTGGGAGCTAAGAAAATAAAGTGCAAGATTATGATCTAAACCTGTCTTTCTTAATTTCTTTGGAAGCTAAGGCCCCTTTGCAAAAATCTAAGGCCAAGTTCTGCCTCTTGACCTGTAAAAAATGCACATCTGTGCATTCCCGCACTTTGACCTATCATTTTCAAGAAGTTCACAGGCTCCTCAAAGCCCAGAAGGCCCTCCAGAATGTTTCAGGACTCTCCTGGAATTCAGCGCCCCTATCAGTTTGGTAAGACAAGCCGGGTGCCCCACTCTAGGCAGCTCAGGCCTGGTCTGATCAGTGCCCTGTAGGGTGGCCAAATGGGCTTCTAGGCTGGATGGGATCCAAAAGCATGCACGCGCCAATCTAAGTTACAGAAGTCAGCTTGGTGCTGCATCTGCTACAAGAAGGCTCCCGGCTGCCAGCTCCCACAACATCATGGCATCGGCACTTGGGTCTTCACTGACCGTTTTGGAGAGCTGGATGTTTTTCTCTAGCATCATCCCTTCCACCCCCTCCTTGTAATAAACCAATCGTGATGTTGTGTTTGTGTTGTTTTGTGCTTTTTTTTTTTTTTTTTTTAAGGCGTGTGTATACCCGTGTGGGAGCTCTCTCTGGCCCAGGACCGACGCCCAACCCCCTCTAGGGCTTGCTGCCCCCAGAGCGCAAATGGAGAGGCTGCGGGTATGACTGGGACACACACTGGCCTGCTGCCCCTGGTTGGAATGAGAAGGTATCAATGTAGCAGAAGCTCAAGTTAAACGCTCTCAGTCGGCCTTGGAGCTCTCAGTATCCCCGACCGCCCCCAAGGCTCCACAGTCCCCAGACTGTAACATCGAGGTGAGGTGTTAGCTTACTCAATAGAATATTCCATTTATCGAACGACTCGGCTTTCCCGAGGTTCCCCCCTCCCCCCTCCAGAGATTAAGAAAAGCGATTCTACTGCAGCAAGACTCGGCTTCTAGACACACTCTCTCCCTCTCGCCCATTTGCCTTCTCAACTTCTCTCCCTTTCGACCTCCCTCCCAGCTACTGAATTTCTCTCTTGCCTTCTGGATACCTTTGACCCAAAACTCCCGGTTACTGCTTGCTTTAACCAGGTCTGTGCAGGTTTATGTGAAACCCCAACAGGGCCCACTTTTTATTTAAGAGTAAATATCTTCTATTTCTACCTGGGTAATAATATTTCCTCCCCCATGGCTGTTGAGCCGAAGTGAACGCCAGGCCGGTGGAAGAAACCCTTTGGTGAGGATTACGATGTAGTTCACCGGACAGTAGATTCCTCCTCCTGAGAAGGCCCTTGCATTCAACAAAAAACAAACTGTTATTACAAAAAAATTCTTTAAAAAAATACTAGTTACTGAGATCGAGCTAGGTAGTGAACAGCTTGTATCTGAAGGTCGCCCTTAGTGTTTTCAGGGCTCAGACCGACTCCTGAGCTGGGCTTGGGCCCGCTACTTCCACAAATCCGCTTCAACAAAAATGCTGGCGGCTACGGTGACCGTGTTTACTGTAGAGCAAGGAATTTTATTTTTTGGTAAACAGTGATGTTCTTTGCCCGATCATCTTTAAGAACAGTAATATTTCCAGGGATATTTGATGTGTTTGCTTTGAATCAATCAGGTGCAATCGATCCCTCAACAACCCCCTTTACATTTTTTTTCCCCTAAATTCAGCCACTGACCTGGTCCTTTCTTCTGATGGGGGAACTGTTGGGGTCTTTTCACACACACCCTAACTTGCAATGCTCTTCGTTTTGTCCATAAGAAACTGCCTCTGGCTTTGAAACGCGAGGTGGCTCTGGGATTTCAGCAACAGCTAGGACTGCAGAAAGCACCGTGTGGGTGTACCTTGTTCTGGCAGAGTTTGGGAGCCTGTGCTCAGCAAAGACTAGGGACTTTGGTGGGTGAAATCTACACATTTGTATGTACGCACGCACAGGCAGCACCTACTTTCTCTAAGATTCCCCCACTCACTGCTGTACTGTGTATTGGTGAAAAATGGCCATTTCAAGAAACCAATGAAAACATATTGGAATAAAGATTTAAATACAGGGAAAGAGGGAATTTGAATCTGTCCACCAAACTGTCAGTGAAATGATTATTGAAACGTTGTTTTATGACAATGCTGATGGAGGAATCGGTCGGTCAGAGCTTATCCTTCTCTGCCAGTTTTTAAAATATATATTTACCAATACAAGTTTGCATGTTTGCAAAATATGCGAAAGATCTTATTTTTACACCTAAGAAATTGCTGCAACATCCCAGCCAGGTTTATAGCAGTACATTCCCAATAAGCAATACAGACTTCTCTGGAAGCCTGGATAATCAAGTGCGACTTTTCTGAATTGTCCTCTTTTCGGAACAAAGGTTTCTCCCAGGCTGCCGGGCAGACCTAGAGACGGCACCTAGCTGGAAACCAGCCACCCCTCCGACGGCCGCCCCAGGAAATAAGCTGCCCCAGCGACGACTGTTGCTGTCCACCTCATTGTCTGGCGTAGAAACTGTTTTTCCCCAGTCCCGCCATCTCCTTTTTTTGCCCCCACTACAACCCCTCATCCCAGCACAGCCGGATCCTTTCTCTTGGATGCACCCCATCCCTGGCTCATCCCATTCTGAATACTTTTACCAAATCGAAAGATTGCCTTGAATTTTTAGCTGGCGCAAGGAGCTAAAATCGTCTACTTTTCCACGTAGGCCTTCCTTTTCCAACCTTAGGGAGCGATGGGGAGGGGGGGTTGGTGGGCTGACCACCTATAGCGTCACCCAGGAGCACACAAACCCAGCCGCTTTCCCCGGCCCTGCTCCGACATCGGCCGCCTCCCCACTCCCGCCCCAGCCTGGATGAAATTACTAAACTTGAGGCCTCTTACCTTGACACATATCCGAAATCACTGCCAAGGGACAGCTGGCTTCTCCGCGCCGCGACGCCTGCGAGGCCTAGAGAAGGCGCTTTGCTTTAAATTACAACACCAACCACTTCTTGAAGGTGAGCCCCCCTTTTTTGATATGAAAGGGAGCGGGACAACTGAAATAATGTAACGTGCTGCTCTTAGTATCAGAAGCGAACAAAGGCCAAGAATCTCGCTGGGGTTCCGGGCTCTCCGGCGGCTTTGACATTGATCGGAAGTGCGCCATCTCGTGGCGGATGAGCGCCTAGGCCCGGCCCGAGCTCCGACCGGAGCCGGGAGAGGGAAGCAGGCTCCAGGCAGAGACAGGAGAGAATGTGCCCAGCCCGCTGCTAAAGAGATCTCACTTTTACATCTAAGAAATTGCTGCAAAACCCCAGCCGGGTTTATAGCGGCGCATTCCAAATATGCAAATTGGCCGGCCCCGGACGGGTTTACGACCACATTGTCACAGCCATCGGAGGATGGGCTTTTATAGGGCTCAGAAATCAAACCCCGCGCCCGCTCGCCGCCCGCCCGGGAACAGTTCTCCTGGCTAGACTCTCTCTAACAACTTGCGAGACTTTGGTTAATCTTTAACCATCCCAAAGGGAGTCTTTCCTTAAACCATGGGCTTCCCTGCCCACCCCCTCCCTGCCTCTCAGGAGAGTCCTTGTTCACCTCTGTGTCTGTCCATCAACCTAGACATTCATCTCCGGGGTCCGTCCCACTTCTCTTTGAGCTCAATTTCCCCAGTCGCGCCAGTTAGACAAACACACAAACAAATCAACAAAGCGGGGCCTGGGGCCTGGGGCCCTTCTCCAGATTTGATCCTCTCTGCTGCTCTGGCCCTGCCTGGGTGGCTAGGGAGAGGGTGGGGTGGGGGTGGGGGGCAACAAAAGGCGCTAGCCTTTCCGCCCTGCCCCTCAAGGTTATGGGTGATGTCCAAATTTAAGGCAGAAGTTCAAAGGCAGGAAACAAAGAGGAAACAGGCATCTTTCTTTCCCCAACGGGGAAAGGCAGCATCAGCTGGGAGCTGGGGAGAAAGCACCCTTGGAGACTCCTGAGAGTCTGCTCTGTCTTTGTACCCAGACGGGTCTCCCTCTTGCTGAGGGGCTCCCCAGAGCACTCTAGAGTGGTTCCAGCTCAGTCCTGCTTGTCTTAGGGGGAGGGAGCCCAGTCTAGGATCAGATTCACTGGCTACCTCAAGCCCTAAGGTTTTCTCCCAATGCTGGGTCAGTCAGAGAATGAAATCCATATTCCAAGTCTTGAGATACCCCATTCCTGGAACCCCATTTCCCCCAAGAACCTGGCCAGTCACCTTGGCTTCCTAAATCTGGCTTCTAGGGGAATTAAATCCTAAGTCAGCTCCCCACCCTCACAGGGGTCTGGTAACTTGCCCCTTTCGTGGTGTATGTGTGTGGTGGTGGTGATGGGGGGGGGGTGATGGGGTTAGACATTTGGCAGCAAAAGGTGAGCAAGGAGAGAAATGTCACACCAGGACCCGATACTCAGGTTTCCACAGTCTTTATTGTCCTTGTGCCCTATCGCCTGTATACATGCTGCGACATCGGACATCCGCGGTGGGTGAGAACAGAGGACAGACCAACACTCCTGTTAGAAACAGGGCCACCAGATGCTTCTTAACACAGAGAAGCAGAGAAGATTCAATGGGAGGAGGCCTGGCTTTCTCAATTGAGGTCCCCACACACTGTTGGGCAGAACTATCTCAGAGAAAACCCCCAATGCTTTCAAAAGATCGCCAGAAATTAAAGAGGCCATTCCCAACACCCTTCCTGCCCCCCTCCACTACCCCAAAGGAAATCAACAAATGGCAAAAAAAAAAAAAAAAAAAAAAAAAAATCAAACAAAATAGGTTACGGTTCCTTTATTTACAAGTCTTTTGAACACCATCCCTGTATGAAGCATACATTCAAATATTCTTAGCAGTGAGTAAGTTTAACCATGGAACACTGTAAACAGATAGAGCCTTTAAATATTTTCTTCATCATCTTTTTTCCCCTCTACATTGTATCTTTTGAAATTCGCTTTGGTTCTGCAGGGAAATATATATATAATATAATATTTATCTTTTAAAATAATTCCAAATCACTCTTGAGCTCTTGGAAGGTCGCTGGAAGCTTCCAAGCTCAGTTCTGGGGCATTGAAGGGCAGAGTGTGGCACCAGAACCGGGTGCTTTGGAGAACTTGTGCCCCTCATAGCTGGGGACTGTTGGCCAGGCCCACTCCTCCCCTGAGCAATTCCAAACTTCAATTAAGTGTGGCAGAGGCTTTGCCAATCTGCCGCACTCCACAGGCATTTCCTGCAGAGATCTAGGGGCCAGAGGCCTGGGCGCAGCCTCTTTGCTTTTTGATGTCTTCCACCTTGGGGAGTAGTCTACTCTGCAACCAGGCTTTAGGCTTGCCTGAGTGGCAGACCCAGACGAAGACCCTCAATGATAGGATAAGCTGGGTGGGATGCAGGAGGCAACTGCTAAGCGGCTCAGGCCTGAGACAGTGCGGTGAGTGGCTAGGAGGAGTGGAGAGCCACTAATGCCACCAGGAATAGTAGATTTCGTTATTTTGTTTTGTTTTTCCTCGAGGACCAGCAGCCCTCTCCCACCTCATATCCACCTCTTAGCCCAGTTGTCTTTCACATTGGCTTTGGAAAGCAGCCCCATTCCGGACATCTAGGAATCCTCCCCTTCCCTCCTGCTCCTGTCCCCAAACTGAACTGGGTTTGGAGATTGAAAAGCTTCTTGATGCAGGGGTCCTGGGGAGGCGGTCAGGCTCCAAGTGGAGGGTCCTGGGGGGGGGGTCGATCTCCAGGGGGCCTGGCAGGGGGCCCAGTCTCTGAGAGAGACCACACCCAGCCCGAAGCTCCACAGTCTCCAAGAGTGAACCACCAGGGGTCCCAAACCATTCTTCCTAGTTGATGCACAACTCTCTGAATCCAATTATTATTAGGAATCTTAACCACAGATGCCCAAGAGAGTCCCGGGCCACCTCCTTCAGGGCTATCTCTCTGTAGCAGCCCCTCTCTTGCATACCTCTGCTCTTCAAAAGTCACTGTGTGCCTTGACCTTGTCAAGGGCAAAATCTGCATATAATCTCCTGTGTATGAAGCCCCCCACCCAATTCCAACTGCCTGGAGCTTTAGAGAAGCGGGTTGGCCGAGTAATATTGTAACCGGTCTCTGTTAATTTTTTTTTCCTTCATTCTTCTGTTCTGAAACCAGATTTTGACTTGACGGTCGGTGAGGTTGAGCATGCGAGACAGCTGCAGACGCTTCTCTTTGTTGATGTACACGCTGAAGAAGAACTCCCGCTCCAGCTCCCGGATCTGGTACTTGGTGTAGGGGCAGCGCTTTTTTCGGGTGCGTTGGCCACCTGCAGAGGAAGAGGCAGGGAATAAGCCAGGTGTGGGGGCTGCAATCCATCCCAGAGCCTCGAGCGGACGAAAGGGGCTGGCTCCAGGAACTGAAGGCCCTGCCCAAGCCCCATCAGGGTCTCTCCAGGCCCCTACCTTCAGGCTTCTACTGTGGGTTGGGGGCAGGCTGCAGGCGGAGGCTCAGCCCCAGATAAAAGTCAGCTCCCTAGATAGGCCCCCAGGGAGACTGCTCACGCTGCCTCCAGAGCAGAAAGGAGGGCTCCTCACAGCAAGGGAAGAGTTTGTGCCGGGGAGGCCCGCTTCCAAAGCAGCCGAGTGGGGGTTGCTGGCTGCCTCCAGCCTGGCCAGACTAAACAAACAGCCGCCCGGGGACATTTCACCTTCCAGCACCTGGGCGGCAGGCCTCCAGGCAGTAAAGGCAGCCCCAGCCCCCAGCCTCCTGCCCCAGTCTCTCTCCTCCTTCACATGTGGGGCAGCCGCCGGTTCTTTTGTCAGCCTGAGTCCCAGCCACCAGCTCTGGCCTCCCTGGCCAGCCCCCTGGCTTCCGCGAGGTCAGGGGATGTCAGCGGAAGCCCCCTGCCCTGGGCCCTCTCTGAGTACCAAGGCCACACAGCTATCCTGGTCCCCCGAGGGCAGGGCTGCTTTTTTAGATAGGGTGGAGGGGAGAGGGGTTCCCCAAAGCCGCGGGCAGGCTCGACACGCTCCCCCTTTGGATAAAATTCCACAAGACATAAAGAAAAAACCCGCTTTTGACAGATTGAAGAACAATTGCGAGTAACTTGCGGATGGACAGAAGGCGGCCAGTAATTGCCACAGCGCAGGAGGAGAATGATTCCATTTGGACCAAAAAAAGCCAACTTTGGGTTAATTTGTTTCTTTTAATATATTGCTCGAGCTAAGCGGGCTATTTTATCTGTTAAACACGCTTCTAGCGCCATCGTTAAACAGCGATGCCTTTGAATCCCGGCCGGGACTGGAGACCCGGCGCAACACATGGTTTTTATAAAAATCTCCGGATTACCTCGCTATCAAAGGCTCCCGGAGCCCTCGCAGGGGGAATTTACAGGCGCCCACCTCCGGCTCCCCAGCCCCGAGCTGGCCCTGAGCAGGGTCGAGCTGCCGGGCTTGGGAGCTGAGAAGGGGAAAAAGGGAGGGTTTTTTTTCCTTTTCTTTTTTTTTTTTTTTTTTTTTTTGCAGGCATGCCTTGGCCGGTGGGTATTTCACGGCCAATTTCAGCACTCGCCACGTGATCCCGCCTTTTATAACAAAGTTTTGTTGGGGGAAACCTAAAGGCCCTTCATAAACCTTATATGCTTATAAAACAGCATATAAAAATTTAACAGCGGTGCTGCGCTAGATTTCCAACTCCCCTTTCATAAAGCGCCGGGCCCTGCCTTTATACGTACTGGAGCCGCCGGCCTTGTCCTCAGTGTGGCCGGAAGACGACTCGGGGCTGCTGCTGCTCTCGGGGCGCCGCCGCCGCTCCTTTTCCTCGGCCGCCGCCGCCGCCGCCGCCGCCTCCCGGCAGCCGCCGGCGCCGCTGTCCGAACTTGAAGTTGCCGGCGTGCCCGTGGCCGCGGCCGCCGCCACCGCCGCCGCGGAGGTCGCCGCGGCCGCCGGGGGCCCCTTCTCGGCGCTCTTGTCCCCGGGGTAGTCGGAGGAGGCGAGGTTTTCCGTGGTGCCGTAGGCCGTCTCGAAAAACTGGTCGAAAGCCTGTGGCAGGACGCCGTTCCTGCCCACGGTGCTATAGAAATTGGACGAGACGGCGGGGGTGGGGTGGTGGTAGACGTTGGCCGAGCTCTTGGCCAGCACGTCGCCAGGCACGCCGGCCGCGCTGGGCGCCTGCAGGCAGTCTCTGTGCACGAGCTCCTCCGCGGAGTAGCAGTGGGCCAGATTGCCGCGGGGGTGCCATTTAGTGGCGGGCTCAATGGCGTACTCTCTGAAGGTCACTTCGCGCACGGGTTGGACCTGGGGCAGGTTGGAAGAGTAGGAGTATGTCATTGGGCGCGAAGACGGGGTCTGGGGCAGAAAAGAAGGGAGGCTGGAGAAATCTGGACCCGAGACGTAGTAAGTACAACTTGGCAAATACATGTTAGAGGAGCAGGGACCACGCTCATCAAAATCCATCATTGGGCTACCTTGGGCTCTCCGCAGTAGCCGAGCTTAACATGATTCTCCACTGCAGCTGCCTCTTTGAAGCGGATCCGTGAAGTAGAAATTTGGAGACGTAAGCTGACGTGGAAATCTATCCCCATCCTTAGCAGGGAGGTGCTGGTCATGTGACCCGATGTTGAAATTGACAAGCTGCGAGCTAGTCCGGGCCTTTTTTTCCCCCTTTCCTTTTTTTTTTTCCTCCCCTCCCTCCCGGATTTCTTTCTTTGTAGCTACCTCAGGGGAAGCAACAGATCGTCACTCGGTGTTCTCACCGAAAGCACGTAATCGCCGGTGTAACTCATGTTGGCTGGGGGGCCTCCCGGCGCGCGGCGAGGCTGGGGTGAGCCCCGCTTGTGCTCAGCTGCACGGTCCTGGCCCTCGAGCGCGCCTTGGGCGGTGAGCGAGCTCAGCGCCTGCCACTCACCACTCCCGGGGCGAGGGGTGCCCCGGGCTGGGGGTGTCTGGGGGCGAGCTCCTCGCGGCGCGGCCCGTGCGTGGTCGTGGAATCAGTTCACTCGGGGGATCGCGTTCGCGCCTCCTTCCTCGCCGTCCCCCTCCCGCAGGTTTGCTCTGGGAGCCACCTCTGCCTCCGACCCCGGCCGGACCCCCTTCGGGGCCAGGGTTCGCAGTCGTGGATGTGCCTGCCTCGTGGCTTGCCCGATTTGCACGGTGACTTGATTACACGCTCGCATTCATGGTCACTTCCGAACCGCTTTAGTGCCTTCCGTCCCTAAACCGCCAACAACCAGGCGGCTTCCCCCGCGGTTTGTCAGGGATCCGCAGGTCCCGGAGGGCCTTCGTCTTACCCGGGATCCACCTCCCCTTCATCCTCCTGGCCGGCCTCCTCACCCCACCCCCTCCTCCTCGCGGCCTGCGGGGGTTCGGAGTCACTCCGCAGAGCCCGGGGCGTGGGGGCGGCGAGCGCAGCTGCGCACTGGTCTGCCCGCCCGCCTGGTCTTCGGAAGCTGAGGACTCGCGAAACCTTGCAGGAGAGGCGAGCCTGGGCTTTTAGAGGCGGTGACATCCGAGGAGTCTTCTCCTGGGTATGCTACACCTTCAGGGACCCACCAGGCTTCTAGAGAACTCCAGAGCTGTGTGGGTAGTGGGGGCAGTGAGGAGGGGGTGAGGGCCAGGGAGAGTGGCCGAGGAAGGGGTAACATGCCTCCTCCCTTCTTGCAAAGCATGGGAGCTAGAGATGTGCAGGGCAGAAACTCAGAAGGCTCGGCGCCTTTCCTGCTACTCTCCCCACAGAAGAAACACAATGCCAAAGAAAAGAGAAGTGCTTCCCAAACTCCCCTCACCTTGGGTGACAAGCCTGCCTTGAAAAGGCTAGGCTTGAGATAAGCGGAGAGGCAGAGGCCAGAGCAGCTCATGCGAGTCTAGTTTTCCTGGGAAGAGGAAAGAAAAAATAATGATGGTGAAAAATGCTCACCATCCTGCAGGATTGAATGAACAATATTTGGGAGAATCGAAAGAAGACAACGCAGAGCGGCCAGACAGAGCTAGGAGCGGGGAGGGGCCCAGCCGCGAGGCCTCCCCACACCTATCTTCTTGCAAGGAGCTGGATGTCCCTGAAGCAAAGTCGAAAACGAAAAAGAATAACCTTTTCCCTTTCCCCATCCAGGAAATAGCTCAAGGTATTTATATATCTTGGGGAGATTTAGAGTATAAACGCTAACATCTTTGGTATTTAAGTGTCAACATCGATTTATTTATTTATTGCTGAGCTGACTGTAACTGACTCTATAACAAATCTAATCATGTATTGCACTGGAAAAGGACTATCCTCATTATGTATTTTCTCCAAGTGATGGCTCACCATTGCATTTGAATGCCTGCTGTAAATATCAATAATATCGAATAATTACTCTGTAGTGGAGTAAACTAATTTATTAGCATTAATGTTTATGTGGCTCCTACTCCCTCCCTTTACAGGGTAGCTTATCACAAATCATACGACTCCAACACGTTGGTTTAATGAACTCTTTATTCAGGCTTTGCTGCAAGAACTTTCATGCCCCTTGAATCCCTCAGAGCTGAACTCGAAATTATTTGTGCATCTTTAACTTGACATATTTGTCCACTGTGGCTTGTGCAGAGGGCGGTAGCAGTGAGAGGGGAAAGGTCTGGTGGGGAGAGAGGTTGTTGGGGAAGGGTAGCTTGAGACCTCCTGATGCTGGGAATCACAATTATGGGATTGCTCTGCAGCAGAAAGAAAACAAACAAGCAAACTTCAATTTCCAGGAGCGACCAACAAGGCAAAATGTTTATATCTCCCCAGTATCTCTTTCTTGGAAACAATATAAAAGGGGGAAGTAGAGGATTTCCCCGAGCGGTATTGGAGCCATTCCCCAGCTCGATTTTGGTTCTCCCAAACTCTCCCGACAGCCCACCCAGGCCCCACCACCCCCACCCTCAAACAAAAGGAATGCATGAGGGGTTTCAGTGACTGTGCCGTAACAAAGGCGCCACCATTGCGGGGCTTGCCCCGCCCCTGGGTGAAGGCAAACAAATTCTTGCACTTGTATTAGGGCTTTTAAGGCTATAATTGAACCCGGGGGCGTCTAGGGGAACCGAAAACAGTTCTAGACAGACCTGGGGTTTTATAGCACTTTTGGCAGTCAACTTCAGCTTGTGCCTGAGCAGACAGGCTGTGGTGGCCTGCCAGCGGGGGACGCCAGGCTGCCTCCCCCAGCTGCCTGCAGTCCCTCTCCTAATTAGATCGGTTCCCCCTTGGTGCCAGGGAGAAGAGGTCCCCACAGAAAGGTTAGTATGGGGATGTGCTCTGCTCCGCATAGCTAGTGTCTCCTGTGCCCCCGAGAGCCAAGCGGAGAGGGTGTCGGCAGGTCTGGATCCCATGGGTGTCTGCAGGAGACAAAGGCGAATTCCCGAGGAAAGGCTGGAGCAGAGGAAGGCGCTCGGGAGGGGCTGGCAGGGCACTTCTAGAGGCTGTCCAGAAGCAGGGTGCCCGCGAGGGCCTTGCAGCCTGGAAGGGGGCATGTGGGGGCACAGCCATGAAGATGGATGAGGGTAAAGGCTTTTGATGCCCCCGGAGAAGGGAAAACACCTAGAGTAGTGAACGCTTAAGTTCCCCCGCAGGGCGGGACAGGCGCGGGTTCTCAGATCCCCAAGGCTGCGGCACTGTTCCCAGCTTTGCCCCCTCCTGCCCTTCTTGCCCAGAATATACTGGCTGTGTGACTGTTTGGGGGAGGGAGTTTGAGGGTCGGCGCAGCTCTGAGGATCAGACCAAATCTTGGGGAAGTGGGGGAGGCAGAGCTGCGGGTCCTTGGTTTTTGACTTTGCTCTGAGCCTAATTGACTCTTCCGCTTTGCAGGAGGCCCAACAGCGGAGCTGAGCCCACCCGGCTCAGGGCTCAGGGGAAGACCCGACGGGGACTAAGGCCGCCCTGGAAGTCCAAGTCCGAGTTGCATTTCTTCAAGTGGCCGAGCTGGACGAGCCTGTGACATTGGCCCTGGAGACTGGTTTCCCATGGGCTGTTCTTTCTCAAGATTTCCACAGTGCGGGGCCATCTCCAGAAAACAATCTTCAGCATGTATTTCCTTTTATCGTCAACCCGGAGCCCCACAGCAGCGAATGCAAGAGGCCAAAAATGTTTTGGAGGAAGAAAAACAAAGGCAGGAAGTGGCGGCGGACTGACGGTGCGTGCGTGTCTACGGAGAAGGGAGGGAGCCGTTTCAATCTCTTCTTGTTGTTTTTCCAAACTTCTCTTCTTGTTGTTTTTCCAAACTTCAAGGTCTAGGCAGCCCTCGCAGGGCCAGCCCCGTCGCTCCCCGCGCAGCGTTTGGAGATGGCCACCCGGCGAGGAGAAGGCTGGCGCCCGCCCGCGCCAACCTCTTCAGGCGGAAATGGCTAACGAGGAGATTTGCTCAGCAAAGCAGACCTCGCCTTTCCAAGGCTTCGTTTGATTAGGCCCTAATGTTGGGGAGTGCGGGGGGTTAGAGGAGTTCTGCAGCGCCTCCGGACCCTTCCCGAGCCGGCTGAGTGCGCCCGGGCGGGGACGGGATGACTCGTGCGACCCGCGCTCCAAGCGCCTTCCTAGGCAGAACATCGGAATAAAGTGTGTCCAGGTGCTTCTGCCCAGCACTGCCGCCTCCGCTTCTTCTTGCAGCCGATGGGTCTGGGCAGCAGCTGGAGGGCGGTTGTTGGCGGTGCCCGGGGTTGGGTAGCCTTGGTCGGTCAGTGCGCACAGGGGCAACGTGAGGCCTTTCACCGGGATTGTTGTGCTTGGGGATGTTTCCAGCAGTCATTCGAGGGATGCGAGCCTGAACCGAAAGAACTGTCACTTGATAGGCGGCTTAACACCTGCTCGCGGCAAGGGGGATAGAGCTGGGGGCAGGGAACACCTCCAGAGTTTGGTGTCCCAAACCCCGACAGGCCCTGGAAAAGGCTGTACCCTTCGTTCCTTGGGGCTGGTTGGGCTCCGGTGGCGGCTCATTGTCCACCCGGTGCCTGCATTTCCAACCCTTTGAGTGCACAGTGTATAGTCCATAGTGTGAATGCCAATGCTAGACAGCCCGCTCGCCCCATTCCCGCCAGCCAGTCCTGTCTCCCTGCAGCTACGGCCTGCCTGCCTGCCTCCCGCCCTGCCTCTTTCCAGCTCAGTCTCCCTTCTTCAGCCTCCTGCCTCTTCTGATGCCCCTCATAGGCTGAGCGAGAACTGAGGTGCCACTGGAGGGCACCCAGTAGTCAAGTACAGAGAAGGGGGACAGTTAGGTTCCTCACTCTTCTTCAGTTCAGGCTTCCACCAGAGATCTGAACTGGATTTGTCACCTTCTTCTGAATACTCCATTCCAAGGCCCTGCCATGTCCTTTTCCCCTCCCTCCCTGTCTTCCTAGTACTTCCCCCTTCTCTTCTAGGGACCCAGCGTCCGCTTTTTCAGGCCCAGCAGCCCTGGATGGCAGCCCGCCTGGGAGGGGTCAAGCCCCCTTGACAAACTCTCTCCCAAAGATCTATG